TCTTCTTCTTCTTCTTCTTCTTCTGCTTCTGCTTCTGCTTCTTCTTCTTCTTCTTCTTCTTCTTCTTCTTCTTCTTCTTCTTCTTCTTCTTCTTCTTCTTCTTCTTCTTCTTCTTCTTCTTCTTCTTCTTCTTCTTCTTCTTCTTCTTCTTCTTCTTCTTCTTCTTCTTCTTCTTCTTCTTCTTCTTCTTCTTCTTCTTCTTCTTCTTCTTCTTCTTCTTCTTCTTCTTCTTCTTCTTCTTCTTCTTCTTCTGCTTCTTCTTCTTCTGCTGGCATGAGGAGACCCGGGGGCACCAAGGCTCTCTCTCTCTCTCTCTCTCTCTCTTCTTCTCCTTCTCAGCACTTCTCTCTATCTCTCTCTCTCTCTCTCTCTCCCTCTCTCTCTCTCGCTGAACCTCCACGTGGCAACTGCTGTCGCAGCCATCTGCCAAGAGCAGGTTGCCATCGTCGCACTCCTGGCCATCACAAGACATACCGTGTAGGATGCCAGTGTAGGCCCAAACAGTGAGAGACCCGGGGCACGAAACAGCACGTCCAAAATAGACCGAAACCGCTCCAAGTGCTTCCGACAGGGATTCGAAGAACGTTCCGCCTTCGCGAGCCCAGACGTCAAGCACGGATGCCAAAACGTGAGGACACTCGAGAGCCCTGACACCCAAAAGCACCGACGGTCTCACGACAGTTTCGCACGTCGCGAGCCCAGAAGTCCAGAAACGATGAACGACAGTTTCGAGGACGGCGAGCACGTCCACCCGCACCTAGGGGCGCAAGCTCTTTTCGTCGTTGTGACAATGGAAGAACTCCCCCCCTCCGCCAAGAATCTTGGCCCAACCATGGGAAAAAAAAAGACACCTCTGAGGCATTCAGAGCACGGCTCTCCTCCCCCTCCAAGCGCAAGAAATCGCCGCAGATCTGTCGGCAGGCTACCTGACGAGGCCACAACATGGGAGAAGTGCCCTCTGGCAGCACTCTGACTGAAAAGCTTCTTTTCAAACATCCTGAGCAAAAAAGAAAAAGGGATGAAAAAAGAAAAGAAAAAAAAACAACGTTCTTCTTCAAAATCACGCTTCAGTCACTTGCATCCTGGGAGGTCGTCTTCAAGCTTTTGCCAAAACAACCCTGAAGCGCGACATCCGAAAGCCGAAGCCCGAGAGCGACCGCTGGGAACCGGGCCCCCGGTGGCCAACAGCGATATCCCTGACAAGCGGCAGGGCAGGGCAGGGCAGGGCAGGGCTGCGGGCTCGTTGGGAGTCAGGAGGATAAGAATGGATACGCATGGATCAGAATGGATAAGATAAGAATGGATAAGAATGGATAAGAATGGATAAGAATGGATAATCTCTGTCACACGCTGGGTTCCGCGAGACGCCGCGAACACCGCCCGCAGGCCACTCCCGCCTGCTCCAGCTGACAAAGCTCGCTGCAGCCATCCTGGAAGAAGTACACTATCAAGAGATCGGGAATAAAGGGCACACGGGGGCTGAAGGACTGAAGCGGGGGTCCAGGATGTACGGCCACACTGTGGCAACTGATAAAGGACTGTGACATCCAAGCGCCGCACCCCCTTCCCATCATTTGCATCATCGCACTCTTCTGGTGCCCGCAACAAGCCATCACCACCTCAGTAAGGTCGGATGGCCCCTGGGTTACCGCTGTTGCGCCCCTTACCCCCTGTAGCAACCAGTGTTTCACTGCCACACATGCCAGAGGCGGCTGCAAATTGGCGTGCAAACTGATCGAGTACCTGCACAGCACCAAGCCGATTTACAATGGCTCGGCTCGCACAAAGCTGCACAAGAGTGTGCCTCCAGTCTGGATTCCGCACCCGTATCCACCTTCCACTCGACAGTTCTCGTCCTGAGGCTGCCGGTTCAAAGGGCTTTTTAAAAGCTGCCCAAAAAAGCTACTGCGGACGGAATTTTACGGCAGCGGTAGTGACCGTGAACGTTGACTGCTCAGGACAAGGCCTAGTCAGACTCACAACATGCAGAAGCTAAGGAAAAGGCGCAGCCATCGTTGGGGACGCGGTTGCCATCCTGGAGGCTCATACCGGGCCCAAACCCTTATAAGCTTTGAGGAAGCACTCGAGGTGGTTTAGGGTCTTTCCCACTATGCCCACTAACTATGCCTAACATGAAACAAGTATATCAAGGCCCCGTTTCCGAGGAGCATGAAGCCATGCACCCTTTCAATTCTTGCTGAGGTCGGAACGTCACACTCCTCGCCACTACCGACCAAGACCAGACCATCGCCGCACACTGGCACGCAGACGCTCCTTCATCGGGGCTTCTTCAAGCTTCGGGTGATTGGCTGTCTAGGACCAAGTAGGGGAGCATACTCACCAAAAAACCTTTGTCGAAACCCAGCGACGTGGGCAAAGCGTGGCTTTCGGAACGTGGGCCTAGGTATGGCTTTCGGAGAAGCAGCCAATCACAGACTTCTCATTGTCCCGAACACTGGGCCAGGAAGTGAGCGGGGTTGAAATCGAAAAGGAACTTCTGTCCGTATCAGTGTTCAAGTTGCGGCTTTCTGAGGATTTGCTATTTGTTGTAATCAGGGTCCTTTTTGATACAAGAAAGGAATCCTGTTGTGAACGTTGTCCCAATTTTGTATCTGCAAAGTGCCTGTTGCGAGCGGCGAACGGCGGCCCAGCAGCTGCCTGCAAGGGCGGACAGGGGGCCACGGACTCGCTGAGTAACTCACGACCGCATGACTCACCATTGTTGCGATGGCTGATTGATGCTGAATGCACTCGAACAGTTCGTGATGCCTTCTTACCGCTTAGATCCTTATCCCAATGCCATGTCTTGAGCCCTTCTGCTAGCCCTGCCAATTTCGAACCTTTGGGTGGGACACCCCTGTGCGTTTTCACTTCCATTGAGTCTTGCGGCCACTGGCCGTTCAAGGGGTCGGGTGGGGTCAACACACTCGCTTGCTGCCTTCTTGACTTCTTGGCAGCTTCCACCACCCTACCCAAGCTTCAATTGGCACTCAGCTGCCTAGGTGGCGCGCAACGCGCAAGCGTTTACAATTTTGTTGCTGCGGTTGTTGCAGTTGCTGCTCTGGCCATGTGTGTATCACTCTTCTATGCTGTTCTATGCTGTTCTCAACTTGCTGCGCCTCAGGCTTCGTCATGGCGTCTTCGGGGGTACAGGCGAAGCCGCGCTCCTCAGGCAAGGGGACACTGGATCCGGAGAAAGCAGATTGCCCATGTTCTCAATAAGCCCATTTCGGATCGAGAACTTAAGAAACCCGTCGGCGGCCCGCATGAAACGACGGGACTTGGTCCACGACCACCTGGCACGAGCTGCTGCAGCCATCGCCGGCATCCTTCTTTGCATATGGAGTCAGTGGACACAAGGGTCACACAGGAGTCACTCAAGAGCCGCCAGTGTGTCACCAAAGCAGACTGGGGGGGGTCCAAATTGCCATCGTCGCAGCCCTCACTGCCCACCACAAGTCCATCGCCACAGATCGACTCCAGCAGAAGCTCGGTAGAAGTGGCCTGGCGCATCGGCAGAACAACACCAGCTGTTCTGGCTAGTCACTAGCTTACAAGATGCCTTGATCAAGAACCAGCCTGTGCTTTCGTGCGCCAGCCCAGTTCGACTTTGCAGCTGGGGTCACAGCCGTCACCCGCCTGAGCCGGGCTCGCCACACAGAAAATCCTCCAACCTGATGCCTCCAGTAAGGGGCAGACCAAGATGTTGCCATCGTCGCAAGCCTCTGCCCATGGCCCCAGCCTTTCGCCAAGGCCACAAACTTCCCAAACGCGGCCAACCCTAAACATCCCCTAAACACCATTTTAGGGGCTTTTTGGGCGCAGCACTGAGGGTGAGTTGGCATTTCGCATGCAGGGCTAGAGCGTTGGGTTGTTGGGTAGTTTAGGGTTTGGGCTTGGGGTCTGGGACTGTGCTAGCAAGTGGCGCGATGCGGAAGCCGTCGCCGCAGATGGGTACACAATAGCTGCCCGAGGACGTGCTCGTGAAGCGGTGCGCGATCGGCTCACCTGGAGCTCTATCCGACAAGCGTCCATGATAGTGGAGGGAAGCAAGCTTGCACGGCCTAAAAACCTGAACATACAAAGGGGGGGAGGTGCGCAGCGCCCCCCCCCAACTTGCAAACGCGAAGCTCGCATGGACGGGTTTAATCGAATAGTCTTCTCTTCCTGCATTGTTTCTTGTTCTGAATTTCTTGCTCGTGTTTGCTTGATTTCCGTCTTTCTTTCTTGCCCTGTCTGCCTATAGTCGACACATGCAGGAAGTGAAGGTTTTCCTAATACAACACAGAGTCAGAGGGCGTAAAAGAAAAGTTGCGAAAAGAACATGTTTTCCGGATAAAATATGGGGAGAACAGAGGTTTTCCAGGTATTCCTATGAAACGAAAGAGAAAAACGCAGCTTGACTAGTGATCAAGTAGCTACGTAGTACTTAAACAGGGCTTCAAGTAACCCAAATCTTCCTCAACATTCCCCTGTAGGGACCTCTGCACTTGTCTGAACCCTTTACCGAGACCAGAAGCCTGCGCCGTAAACCTCCAAGTTGATGCCGCATGTGTACAAAAACATTCTAAGCACGAGGTCTGAGAAATATTCAGCATACCCCCTTTGGCATATCTTTGAAAACAATCAGGGTGGCAAAATCCCCTTTATCCTCATTTCAAGGGTCCATTAAAGCATGCATGACATGCGTACTACTTGCATCCTCACGCATTTCCTCTCACAACATACGTTGCACACATGATGACACTTCACTACATTTTCATACGTACACTACTTGCTTGCTTAGAGAGACAGACAGAGGCCTGCCTTTTCGTACGAGAGATACGCTTGCCAAGAAAATGCCAGCCAGACATCTTTGCCACTTGAAGAACAGTGTATCTCTCGCTCCCCCTAACGCTCAGCACGGTAGGGTACAAAATGCGAGGCATGCGTTTGCTGCAGGGGTTGCGGAATGCTCCGGAAGAAGCCGTGCTTTAAGCATTCGGAGACCAACTCGCAGAAGACAAAGTGTCAATAGGTTAGATGGCCATCCCAAAACTCATGTGTTGTGATTTTTACGGAAGGTGAAGAAACAATACTTCCATGATCCTTCGTCGCCCTTCATCGCACTTTATCGCCTCGGCATCGCCTTCACTTCTTAGCCGGTGTCTTTGTGTCGACATGTGAACATTCGTGGCGAGCTGAAACGAGGCCCAGAACCCAAAGCGCTCTCAAGACACAGCTGGCGGCCGATCTACTCGTCATGGGCCCTTCTTGGGTCACTATTTCCACGCAAGCCTCCAAGAGTTTCTTATTTACCCTTCTTTGTCCTTGTCTGGGGCCGAAGCAGCTCCATCCAGGTTCGATGATGCAGTTGGCACACCCGTCGTTCTTGAACTCAGATCTCACCAGCTTGCAGGTTGCACCGCGTTTTTGGGTCCAACTAGCGAAGCTTTGATGGGTTGCCTGGCTGAACCTGTAGTGGCCTTGCTAGCTCTCCTGTCGCTCTTCGAAACTCCTCGCGGGCACAAGGGGCCGTGTTGGCATCATCACAGTCTTCTCCAGGGTCAATGGCGCCGTTCAGGCAGGTCTGCAGACATACCTCTGGACACAGAGGCGCAAGAAGTATTCCAAACAGTCCTCGAACAAGCTGGCGGGCCCTGTGTTGTGAACCCCTGTTGCGGGGGGCTTTGTCGTGGGGGCTGCCTCATAGCCCAGACCGGCGCCAGCTCGCTTGCAGAACCAGCCAATCTCCACCTCCACCAGAGAGCAAAGTTTTCTGAAGCTCTAAGCACATTTCTCTCATGTTGGTCTCCCTGCCTGACATGTTGGGCTGCAGCCATCACCACTCTGAGTGTTGTTGTCGTCACACTCCTGCAGAGGATGTGAAGGCACTGAAAGCTCAGGGTTTGGTCTCTATCCTACAGTCGTTGGCAGCACAGTCCTCACCAGCGACCCGCAAACCATCTCCGCAGATGGGCACGCACGGCGTCAGCAGCACCTTTGGACCCAAGGGACGAATATTTACAGATCTTGTTGAGCATGTTTAAAAGCTGAACATGTCAAACATGCTGAACATATTGAACGTTTATCAACCTTTTAAACATGCTGAACATGTTGAGCAGCGCTCGACTCAGTTTTGAACAAGAGCAAACGGAGCTCTGAAGAACCAAAAGGTAGCTTTGGACAATTCCAGTCACTGTCGACGTGGTCATAGGGCCCACACTGACGGCCACCCTCGCGTCGGACACGTGAAGCCATCTTCGATGCGGCAGTCCCTGCAAACTGGCTGTTGGCTTTGGGGCTACTTAGTTGTGAGGGTAAGGGTCGTCGAGCCTTGAGCAACCGTCTCCATCGATCAAGTTTCCATCGTCGCATTCCTGAAGCAGATGCCAAGAAGCCTGCAAGCCTGGGCTGGCATCATGCCTCAGTGAAGGCCGGCCTCACCAGCCACGATGTGGCGAATGCCATCGCCGCCTTGCAAAGACTTGCAGTCCCGTCAGGTGTGTTTCCTGACATGCCGGCACAAGCCTGCATGTGCAACTGCACACTACAGATCCTGGTGCCCCTGCAGCCCAGGCACATACAACTTTGCAGCTGTCCGCAGTAAAGGTGATCGCGAGATCTGGCAAGCGTACTTGACAAGGAGATCTTGTATGACTTGCGCACAGTACATCATGATGTTGGGATGTTCTTTTCCGTGAAAGGCTTCCTACTCTGCATAGAATGCTACGGGCCGGTGGCACTCGTATCAGCTGCGACCACCCCCACGCAGCCGGTCTCGATGCCCAACCTCACACTAGAGCCGGTTTGGGCTTTGAGGCCTGGGGTAGCACAGAAACACACTGAAAACCAAACCACTGGACGTCCAAATGCCCTTATGAAGACTCCGCTGTTGTGGACGACTCGGTTTGGAAAAACCATCTCAAGGCCAGCCTTGGCCCTGAAATTCAGAACTCCCTGAAATGTTTGGCACTGCTGACGCCTCACTCGCCAAAACATACATCATCTTTCAAAGAAGCTCACAAGTAAACCCTGGAAACCACCCTAAACCACCCAAACCCTGGCAAGTGAGCAGGCGAAAGCTCTCAGTAGCCTACCGGCCCTGGTACTCGCAAACGTAGGAGGGCTCCACTTTCCCGTTGTTGCACCCATCGCCTGCCTGGCACAAACAGTTGGTCCAGAATACTTGTTCGGTTTTGGAATGTGTTGTGCTTTGGGTTTTCTGTTCTGGTGCGAACACACCTCCGCGGCTCTTTTGTTCTTTCTCGGCGTGTTCCTTCTCTATGGTTCGTTGATTCCATTCTACATTGCTTGTTCTTTTCTGAGACATGCACAGGTACGCCGACGTTGTTTGATGTTAATCCCAGTTAGAGTGTAATTTGTCCTCTCCCCAAACGACCCTAAAGCACCAACCGACGCAGAATTCGCCCCCGCAAACAGTTGCAAGATCCTTTGTGGCTGCAGTTGGTGAGATGTTGGCAGTTGGCAGCTACTAGGGGTTTGACCCAAGTCGGGGGGCCTCTTTACCCGAAACTATGACGAATAAACTATAATTCCCCGAAATGGAGCATCAAGCCCCACAAGCGGACAGTGGCTGCTAAAGCCGCCCCGATGGCTTTGCCAGGGCCTTTTTGTGAGAATTCGATGAGGCGCGCTGCCTCTGGGAGTCACTTGCACGTCAGCACTTTCGCGTCATTCCGGTGTAGAGTCATCTCCGGGAGCCGCAGCGCCGACAGCGCCGTACCCAAGCTCCCCTCCGGCAAGCCTCCAGGAACCAACTTGCAACGGCTTGCGCCGAGGAGCCACAACAAGGTGTCTGCAAAACAAGAATCGACATGTAAACGAAGTCAATAGCACTTCAAGCGAGCTTCCCATGCCCCTCTCTTCGTATCGTACTCCAACGGAGAAATCGATGCACATCACCTGCTCAGCTGCTCTCTTTGTCAAGCTCTGCACCTACGGAAGGAAGGCGCCCACGTTGATTCCAACACAATTCCATGTCCTACCTTCTTCTTTGCTCCCAGCAAACTCACTGGCGAGTAGCCAGGGAACATGTCCTTACGCTGCAAGGCTTTTTGGAGAGGGCAGCCAGCTTGGGGCGTCCATGTTTCTCTGCTCATGACGCCAATCTAGCTTGTGGCTTTGCGTCTGCGCCAGATGGAGCAAAGCCTCCCCTTAGCTTGGTCTCAGTCAGGACAGGGCGAACGCCGTTTCGACAAGAACGCATCTCAGACGGAAAGCGTCTGCGCTTTTGCATGAAGGGGCACGGATGCTTCTCGAAGACTTTAGGACTCACCTCGTCCAGAAATCGGCGCCAGTAGTGTCCGATAACCACCATCCTCAGGGTGAGGTGACTTGCACGATCCCATTAGCAGCTCTCTGCGCAATTCTGAAGTGTTTCTTGGGTTCTTGGCGCCCAGATCTTGCCCATTTTCCATATCATCACACCCGACGCCAACTCAACCTTGAACCCTCAACTTGTCATGTTCCCCTAAGAATCCCCATCAAGGACTGTTAAGTATAAGTGGGAACCTCCCAGCCCTCAACCTAGAAGTGCGGGCCTGTCATCCCTGGCCTCGTAGGTCTCCCACCACCTCTGAGCGTTCCGGGCGTAGAGCTTCGGATTGGGGTTTAGGGTTTAGGGTTTCGAGTTTAGGGTTCAGGGTTCAGGGTATAGGGTTTAGGGTTCAGGGTTCAGGGTTTAGGGTTTAGGATTGCAGTTTAAGGTGATTCGGGGGGGGGGGGGGTCGGAGTTCGGAATTGCGGACCTCAGCCGGATTGCGCCTCTTGGATCACGGACATCGGTTCGCCCACACGCGGCTAACACGGCGAATCTCAACTACCCTGCCCCGAACCCAACAAAAGCCGTATGAACCCCCAACGAAAGCACACCCCAACAAAAACCTTTCGAAACCTCTCAGCGCCTTTCAGAGGGCCCTTCAGATAAGACCAGCCACTTTAGCCGCTCCAGGTTCCGCATCTTGCCGCCGGCGAAGAAGGGCTCCGCAGCCCTTCCTGCGCAGGAGGGCCTAGGGCCTAGGTGATTAGATGGGTTTAGGGGTTTAGATGGGTTTAGATGGGTTTAGATGGGTTTAGATGGGTTTAGGGGGTTTAGACGTTTACAAGATGGGTTTAGATGGCTGTAGGGTTCAGATTTTACGGGCTTAGGAATGCAGGGGTGCAGGGGCTTAGGGTTCAGGCCTTAACCTTCTTGGCAACCCCATCTCGAAGCTTCATAAAAAAACACAGCTAGCAGCCGGCGCGTCCACGTTCTTTTGCTTGCTGAAAACCGTTCCCATTGAATGTGGCTCTGAGCTCTGGTTCCCCCCTCCAAAAGAAGCAACAAACAACTCCTTGAGCACAGTATAATCGCCACTCAAAGCGCTTTTTTGAGGAGCAATGTGCAGAAGGAGTCCCAGCAAAAGTAGCATCACGAGAGAGAGAGATATACGAGTATGTATATCATGTATAGATATGGATCAGTGATCACTCAATTCGAGTACGCTCAGTGCTCAGGCTACGGATCATTGAGTAAGCACTAACGTCAGGCCCCTCGCAAATGCATCAGCAGGCAGCTCTGCTGTAGCTGACAGCATGCATGTCAACCGGTCCTTCATAGCCCGAGGACAAGACCTTGACAGGATTGAGGTTCTGCTCCCTCATGTCGATCTCATCTTGATCCGTGACGTTCTCGGCCTTGATGTCTGCCTGGCCCCGGCCACCGTGGCAACAACCGACAGCTGCAACATGCTGGCTAAACATATTGCAAAGGCACATGTAGTAAATTGCCCAGCGCTCACACAATGCTTGAAGATTGTCCTGAATCTGCTTGTCGAAAAAGTCATGCGCTGTGATAGCCTCGGGCTTGGAAAAGCTCAAGCTACTGGTAACAATGAAGATACTATGCTACATTATGCTACCATGTTGCAATATGTTGCAATAAACTGACACAAGGGTTATGACTTGGAGCCGAGTCACGTTGCCATGGAACGTTCTGAGCTTCTCACCAGATCTCAGCGCAGCTGCACGATGCACGGATATGCACGGGGGTCACAGAGAAATGGACAACCAACGCCAAACGCCCAAGGTCTGCTCACATCATCCCATGCCGCATGGACCACAATGAGATCCTGTCTGGGAGCAACTCGAAGCAAGAAGCACACTTCTGAAAATGCGCTGCCCAGGCCCATCCTCCCGCTCCAAGGCGAGCGGCAAGGTCAGGAAGAATTCCCGGACCTGCTTTTTGCGACCAGTGTGTGCTCTCTGGAGCTGCCACCCCCCGCCCCCCCCCCCCAATCCTAAACCCCATTGTATGCAAAGTCCTAACACCCCAAACCAAGCGCCTCTGTTCGAAATGCGTCGTCTGCGAGCACTTGGAAACTTTGGGCGACCTTATCCTGCAACGGTTTGTCGACACATTGAGAAAGTCCCACCACCAACTCGGGATCCCTGGATGCCTTCCGAATTGTTTCGGGCTCGCCGTAGAACCAGTGGTTCCCGTGCTTGTGCTCGTTTCGCAACAGATTCAGCTCATGGTTGCCCAGAATGCATTGGGCCTGCAATCTGCTGGTCTTGCACGAGTCAACAGGCTGTACAGTGAGGCAAGAATAGGCAAGATATCCTGAATCGTGCCTTGCCCTTCTGTAGAAGATGTCTCACCAATCGAATCACGCCTGGAGAGTCAGGTCCACGGTCCACCAGGTCCTGTGACTCAATTCGCGCAGTGAGTCGCAAAAGATGCATGCTGCCATGGAGCATGAGCAGACAACAATGACTCCCATGCCAAGCTTCGCCAAGGAAGACCTCATGGCGACTCTCTCAACGCTCGCAGCCCTCAGGCTTCGCGGTCATTCTGAGTAAGGCACCAGGCGTCGACCCTCAGGATGCTCGCCATTGCCATCATAGCCCAGGTGATCCAGCAAACCCGTCAGTGCCCCGCATTCCTCGGTAGAATCAGAACGGATGTCCTCTGCTCATGTGCTGCCCCTCCTAGACAGCCCAGATAGGCTGTACTACTGTACCATTTCACTAGAAACCACTTGGCCAAGTATGGCTGAGCTGCACCATGAATGTCTGCCACGATGTCAATCGGGCCGTCAAACAACCGGCCGACCAACGGAACAGCCGCCATGGCAACGGAGAAACTACACAGGGCGGGATCCATGTGCATGTTGCCTACGGCCTGATTACGTTTCAGAGTCCATCAGTATGAGCATGTTTTCCGCTCGTGCGGCGGCACGATGCATTTGAGCACCAAGTGCAAACTGCAACAACCCATCAGTCTGCATCCAAGGCAACAATCAGAAGCAAGTCCTCAGAAAAGAAGTCAGATGGTTGGAGACTAGCCGGCCTGATTGTTGCAGTCGTCGCATTCCTCATCTCCCACGCGCAAACCGTCCATGCCGGCCGCGCGACACCTCACGTGCACAGCACAGTATGGAATGTCGGAACTATTGGGTAAGCAGAATCGGAGGCACAATCACTTGCCATGACAAAGACTTAGGGCACCCTAGCCGTAGCAGTGACAACAACTGACGAGGCAGGTTGTAACCAGCAATTCGAAGTTCTCCGTCGAAGCTAGGCGTGGCATCTTGTGGCTTTGAGCCCAGCACTTGGACATCCCCAGGCCCCACCCATCAGCGTAGTCTCCAGATGTGGCTGCCTTTGGCTGGGACTGAGTGCCGTGACTTGGACGTGCTGACCTTACGTACAATCTCCTGATGATTTCTGATGCGTTCTACTTGCGCCAAGAAGAAGCAACAGTCCCCCTCAACTGCCTCAACCCTAAACTCTAAACTCTAAACTCTGAGGTGAGCCCACGCGCCTCGCATATCCAGCCCATCTCCACCTGCTTCGGCGCCACTTGTGAGATGCAGGAATCGGATCTAAACTCACAAACAGGCCAACTGCGTCGGGAAAAGCTCGCCTCACAGTTGCTGCTGCAGCCGTCACCATTCACAGTGTTGCCATCATCGCAGGCCTGAGGTACAAGCAACTGGTTGGAAGCCTGAGTACTGCATGGTCTCAAAGCACTAAGTCCGCAAAATACGACTCAGACACTCATCTGCCTCCCCGTCATGAGCTTTTCCATCAGGACATGCTGACCTGTTTCACTGCCGCCCGAAAATTCGCACTTCTGAGCAACGCGAGAAGACACCCGTGGCAGCCTTCAAAAGTGGGACACTTGGGGCTCAGAAGAAGCTTGGCTGCCCGACAGCACTCGCAGCAAGGCCCAATCAGACCAAGGGGATGGCCCAAAAGCATTCCGGGCCTCAGGGCATCGCAACACATGGCCATGCTGATTGCTTGTGAGATGGTCACGGAACCAAACAGGATGTAACGGAAACGTGAAACCATGACAGAGACCCAGCACAACATAACGCAAACTATGCCCCAACGCATGGCAACGAAACCGCCCATCGTTGTCCTCCCCCTGATTTTTGTCTCACGGTTAGCTTCTGCTCCGCCTCCCCTTGGTTTCGGTCTCGCGGGACTCAGAACCCGGCGCGGACACGAACCAAGTAGTGCTGCGAGCTCACGACACCCAGAAAAACAGTGCTGCCGGACTCCTGGCCGACGACCACCTGCTCCTGTCAAAAAGGGACTCCAAACTCCAAATTTCTCTGACGGTTCGGAAACTGAGAGGCTTGGACCTTGACTTTGGAAAATTCGGGGGCGCAACATGGGGCAACTCATCACAATTCCGTCCTTGACACTTGCCGTGGCTCTCAATGCAGCATCTGCTGCTGCTTCGGCATCGGTGCCTCGGCCGCGCCACAATGCACCACAACTTCTACTTAGAAGGCAGGGTGTCACTTCTGGGGAAACAAAAGCTCAGCCCTTTTTGTCCGTCTCGTCCTCGACTGCTTGCGAGAGACTTTATATAAGTGTCTTCCAAACGCAAGTGATTCTGACCAATATGGCTCCAGGCCAGCCCCCAGACATCTGGGAGCATTTTCAAGGCCAAAGCAGTGCCATGGTCTCAACATGTCTCACCATCAAGCTGTTACAGACCAGTACCCAAGACATCCTCTACAGAAAGCACCATCACATTCTCAAACAGCTCAAACACTTGCTTTGCAGCAGCGCTTGTCGCACCTGCCAATTAATCCAATCACTTCGTTCGAAGATCTGCCACATGTCGCCCTAAGCATGGGCGGCATGCGTCGCATTCGGGATGCACTGGGTTCCCTGGAACTGCCGAGAGTCATCACCAGATGTCATCTCGCTACGTCTCCAAAGAACGCATGTTGAAATGTCAATCAGTCTGCCTGTAGCAGCTCAAGGAAACCTCTGCGCTAATTCGTGCATCAGCAGCGGGACGATCCCTTCCGCAGACTGTTTCAAGAGCGGAGGCGGGCGTCCCACCAAGGACAAACAGTAAGCACGGAACCAACGAAGCCATCAAAGAGTCAAAGAGTACCATATAGTGCCGAATCCTTCCAGCAGGAATCCGGCCCTGGCTTCTCTCGGGTTCGCCTCGGCTCATCCGCCGCCCCCAAAGAAAAGCCACTCTACAAATCGAGCAAAGTCCCCCCGAAGATGCCCCACCCCCTTCCCAACAGCTTGAAGTGTTGCCCCCAGCCTCTGCGTCCATCACCGGGCCGCGACCACGGGAACACTGCTCACAAAGAAGTAGGGCTGCACCTTCACTCAAAAGAGCTCAGGAACTTTGAGGGCTCTGCTCGAGCCAGGATGGAGGGCTTGAGGGCTGCGGTGTTTCGGGTAAATGAGGGGTCTGCATGCACATCGTTTGCCAGCCTCTGCCTCTGCTTGCGTCGGGTATGAAAAGCCTCGTGCCAAGTCTCACATCTCACTTCCAGTCAGCAGCTTTGCAGTTCTTATTGCCGCCCACTCGCTCTCGGAACCCGGCTTCGCTTAAAGTCCGAGGAAAGCTGCGACTCGGCCTCCTTCGACATGCGGATGCCCACAACTTCAGCACGGCTTTTTAAAAAGGGCGCTCTGTGACCCCAGTCCATGCCTCCATCACATCCGGCCATGGGAGCCTCTTCTTGGCCGGACAGCCCGGCACCCTGGAAACATGGGCTTCAAATTCGCTCCCCGGATGCCAGCATGTCATGCCAATGTGAGCTCACGCGGCTGCAAGGCAATTGCCACCGGGAGCCACGCAGCGGGCGCACCACGCTGAGCGCCGCGTCGGGCAGGCGGACCTCCGAGAGGCTGCTGCTCAAAGCCAGGAGATCCTTCCCTCAACGCAATATGAAAAAACGACCTGCATTCAAACATAACAAACAAGAATGTCGCGAGAAGGCATGCCAAGGCCCATCCCGAACCCTCTCTGGGGGCCTTCAACGGGATGCCTTGGGCTTTTGCCTTCTCCACCACCGCCTGGCCTGGGAGGCCCGGGGACCCGGATTCGGCTTCGGGGAACAATAATATTAATAGTATGTGTCATATTAACAACGCTAATAATATTTACAACATTAAGAACATGAATAACATTCATAACATAAACAACAGTAATAACATTAATAGCATGAATAACATGAATAACATTAATAACATCAAAAACATTAATAACATGAATAACATGAATAACATGAATAACATGAATAACATGAATAACATGAATAACATGAATAACATGAATAACATGAATAACATGAATAACATGAATAACATTAATAACATTAACAACAATAGCATGACTACGCAGTGACTCACTAGATGAAATACAGAGCACACGCGTGTTTTGTGTGCAGCACGCTGCGTCGCTCTGTATCAAAAGAGATCCGTGGCTTCTGAGTTCCTAAAGCCGCCTCGGGCGGTACGTGAAATTGGAATCAGAGGCCTTGCTTCTGTACTCCCCGGGCCGGGGGGGCGGGCCACTTTGAACTTTGAGATGAAAGATTCACAGAAACATGTCACTACTACGTCAAAACCCCACTAAAAGTGGGACTATGACTACGCAGTGACTCACTAGATGAAATACAGAGCACACGCGTGTTTTGTGTGCAGCACGCTGCATCGCTCTGTATCAAAAGAGATCCGTGGCTTCTGAGTTCCTAAAGCCGCCTCGGGCGGTACGTGAAATTGGAATCAGAGGCCTTGCTTCTGTACTCCCCACCCCCATGCCCAAAATGGCTCAGGGGCGGGCGGGAGGGGAATGCGAGATGATGCTACTCATCAAGCTTCTGGCGAACTGTCTAGGATACACCTGAGCTTGTTTCGTCAGAAAGAATTTGCTTCGCAGACCAGCAAGATGTAGATGCGGTCGAGAGGTCCTGCTGCATAGACCATGTCCTGGACATGTGCTCAGATCGAAAGGTGTGCACCCCCAAATGAGCACTTGAGTGGCTTTCCTCCATTGAGTGCCATACTGGCACATGTGAGCTCGCACCAGATGCACATGCTTCTTCCTCAACAGCCTTTGAATGGGTGGTGCACTCCAAATCATACTATTCAGAGGGTTCACTAAGTATCCTGCAATGTTACAAGCCAGGCATTTGCGAATGACCTTGCAGGCGCCATGAAGCATATTGTTTGCTGCATTGACCTTGATCTCATCTCGCGGCTTCAACCCTGTTACTCCCATGACCTCACTAGGCGTGGCACGCCTCAGGGGCTCCGGCATACCAGATCCCGGCTTTCCACGCCTGGCACGGCTCCAGGTTTTGCAAGGAATATCTATGCCGACGAGGTTGAAAAAATGCAGCTGGCTAATGATGTCGTTCCAAGCTTTTGGCTTCCCCAGATCATTCTGCTCTGAAAACACCTGGTCAACAATTGCGGAATTTCCCCCTATAGAAGCTATGTACTTTGCACATTCGCTTTGGCCGCCGAACAAGCTCAGGAAGTTGGGACCTTGATGCTCCGCGGTAGCACAACATTGCCACTGTGGTACAAGCGTTCGAAATTTACACGAATATTCTCCCCAAAATCCCGGAACTTGCCCTCGTGTTGGGATATCAGCTGCTGCATCCTTCCAGGCTTGTCGTAGATCCTGGCGCTGGTCTCCGATGCCCATCTGCCCCTCCGTCGAATCTCCTCGATGCTCCTCAGTCGCTGCAAGTGGTCTCTGCTCGCTCCCCCATGCCGGTTCTGGTATGGGCTGGTAGCAAGCTGCTGAATGCCCAATGCCACGACACACTCCCTCCAAGTCTTGAGGTAGGCTTTGGCCGTAAAGTCCCACAAAGGCGCCTCCGCACCTTTCTCCATCCTCTGTTTGCACGCCTGTGCATGTAGGAGTGAAGGCAGGAAAGGGGCTCGAACATCGTCGAGGATGAGAACCTCGTCGTAGATCCCGGCCTTCGACGACTCCCCCCGCTCGAGTGGCCCCAAAACGATTACCGCCTTGTCGAACTCGTGGTTTGGCATCAGGACATCCTCGGCACTTACTCGCATCATCTCTCCTGGACGCGCGTACGTGCTGAAGGTCACCTCGTTGCACAGCGCCATGCTCCTTTGCCCCATCTTCAGCATCACCCCGCTGATCGCACCTTTCAAGAACTCCAGCATGGGCATTCTTGTCTGCACAGGGGCCAGCTTCCTCCAGCCCTTCAAACTCCTGCGAAACCAAGCCACGGCTCCTGGCGAACTCGGGGCGCTCGAACTCGACCGCCGCCATCAGCTTCTCGCCGAAGTTGCTGCCGTAGCCGTCTAGGAACAGGATGTCCCCGTAGTCGCACAAGGCTTCGTCCAGCTCCTTTTCGTTGGACAGAGCGAGGTCGTACTGGACGACGAAGCTGTAGAAGCCCTCCAACTTGCTCAAGTAGTCCTTCCTTTGCGGCTCTCGCACGCTGCTCTGCTCCAGGAGTCCACGCTCCCCCCTGGTCGCCCGCAAACGAGCCTCGTACTTCTTCTTGCGCTGGATGCCCCTTTGCTGCCGCCTCTTGTGGCTTGCCAAGAGGCTCCTCAGGTCCGCCCGGCTCGGCTTCCCCGATCTCAGAGGTGACGAACTTCTCTCTTTCTGCAGCACGTCCCTCTCGGGGAGCTGACCGGACGACTGCATGCGGCGGTTTGCAGCCTTCGCCTCGTCTCGGGTGAAGACCTCCACCTTCCTCTTCTGAGGACGTCTGGATGCCATGCGTTGCCGAAAAATCTCTGAGCAGGGCACTCTCAAAAAGGTTTCGATGGCTATTCTCGTTCTTGCGTACACCTACTTTGGGCTCCCATCTTCGGCTATCCTGATCGGCAACATTCCACTCGGATGGAACCCACCGAGCACAAAGACGAATATTGGAAACCAGAACATGAGCACTGATCCTTCTGATGAGCCGCAACAGACTGAAAGAGCTGCATCTCCCCTTCTGCAACGCAAGGACCACGGACATGTTATCATTCAAAATGACAAAACGTTGCCCATGTCGGCGACTGTCCCGAGCGATGTGCTTCACTGCTCCTAAGATGCTTCGCGCCTCTATCAGGTGAACTGGCTCCCGATGGTGTACCGGACAGCACCACACTCGCCGCCACTTCTCCTGACTCATGACAGATGGCTCGACATCGGGAAAGCGGGGATCAACCTCAACATGACCCATGACTTCTCCGTCAACTTCGGGCTTGACAGTCAAGGGATCCTCGAAGACCATGCTCGTGTCGAGCGCCTGGCGACGCGGCGCCAGGTGCTTCCCACTCCCCAAACGGAACCTCCATCACTCATCATGCCTCCCCAAAGTCCGCGCTGTGTCGGACCCCTGCACACTAGACATTACAGCATACCCAGAAAGACAAGCATCCGTGCAAAAAATGGTGTCGCTCCACGCCTGCTTGAAATTTCCGAAGCCCAAGACCATCAAGTGTCGAAAATGGTAAAGCTCCTGAAGTACACTACCCCAAACTCGGGTACGGCGAGTGTAGTTCTTCTCTATGAAGGCATACGCGTAGCGGATGATGCCCATCAAACCCCGGTGCAATAAGGAGCGGACTGTGACGTGCCCAATCACCACTTGTAGCTCCTGACCGGAAAGCTTTACTCCTCTACATATCGCCGACAAAGCTCTGTCCAGTCTCCAATCTCTCTTTGGTGTAGGTAGCACATGTCCGGCCATCCCATCTATTCTGACCCCAAGACTTTCTGCAAGGCTAGCAGCTTCCGTCACGTCATGAGTGTCCAAGCCTCGCTGGTGTAGGGCACCCATGACAGCGTCCTGGTCGGCAGCGACCTTGTCCAAATCTGTACCCACATGATTATTGTTGTCTGCATAAATCAACATTGCCGTGGTGTTGGACTCTCCCTTGGCACCCAGCTTTGGGATCGGTGTACGATCTTGCATAAGGTTCACGTGAGGCAAAGCCGAGGAAGCAATATGTACGTGTGCCTTATGTGCCAAGTGGAAAGCCCAGCTGAAGCCCATGGGTAACACGGCCATGCACGGATAAATGGGCGCCGCGCTCAGGTCGATCAGCTCTGCCAGCTCCTTTGGTAGTTCACCAAGAATCTGGTTTAGGATGTGGGGATCGATCTCGGGCAAACAGAAGTACTCTCCCAACTCCCGACTGATGCCCAGGCGGTAGAACTAGTCACGTACATCTTCTTGGGCTACAAAGACCGTCTGATCTGACCCCGCCTCCAGCCTCGACCAGGTTTCTGCGGACCCGAGGAGCGTGCAGGGAGGGGTACGAAACAAACGATTTGTTCTTCTGGCGTCAATGATGAGTCGTTGCTTGTTGTTTTTCTTTGTAACAACGAATGCACCAATCTGCACACGAGGTTTGACGGTAAAGTGTATAAGGTTGCAGCTATAGAGCTCGGCAATGAACCGATGATACAGCCATGTATCATGCAGCAAGACTGGGTCGATGTGACACTCTCCCTCAAGGCCTTGCTCAAGCACTGCAGCCCTTTCTTCTGGTGAGAGCATCATGTCGTCTTCAAAGTTTTGGACCCTGCGAACCTCATCTTCCGGCAACACGTCTAGAAGGCTTACTGGTTCACTCTGCCCTCGGGGAAGAGATAAACGCTCTAGGACCAAACTAGCCAGTGCCCCTGGGCTGTCTCCATAACCAGCCCTTCTTGCCAGAAGCTGCCGAAGCGCTTCTTGGTCACTCATGTCCTCAACAGGCCTTGCGCGTTGCATATGACAACGAAGAATGTGATCAAGCCCTTCAGCCTGAGCACGGTTTAAGGGTCGTTGAGGCCAAGACTTCTCATCTACAAAACCGGCCATCTGATTGAGACTTCGCACAGTGGCCTCAGCTCGACAAAAGGAAAAATGGCGGAAGTTGACCCTTCTCTGCGACCTCCTCGATCGCAGTTCAGATCCTGCTCCCTCATAGCCCTCGGACTTCGGAAGAGGTAGTGGAAAAAGATCCCCATGCCGATGTTGAGCGCTGTTACAAAAACCCGCAGTGCCATCAAAATGCCCCAAACCCGGAAGTACAGCACTGTCATACCCCCGGGCCTGTACAGGCTTAGGGACTTTCATGGGCTCCTTTGGGCGTGCCCCGACCCTTGGCTTTTGCCTTTGACGATGCTCCGGCCTCGTCCTCTGTCACAGCAGCCTGGTTGCGCCGATGACGCTTCTCTTCGGCAGCCAAGCGCTGTTGCTTGAGGACCTCGGCCTTGCTGGCTGCCTTCTTCGCGGCAAAAGAGGTGAGAGCAGGGTCGATCATGGCGCCGTCGCTGGCCTCCCGCACACCAAGCAGGTCCTCAGCACCCTCATAGCTGGGCGCCTCGGGGCGCCCATGGTGGGCGAACTCAATGAGTGCCCGGCGCCTGCTTAACGCCTCTGCAGCTGCGAGGGCGGGGGCATTCAACTGGTCGTAGCAGATCATGAGATGCAAAGCCCTGCACAAACTAGAATGCTCATGCACTGACCTGTCCGTTGATCGCACGCCCGACTTCTTGATCCAGCTCTCGTGGTGCTGCAGGAAGTCCTGTCCGGCCCGCCTCAACTGACGCATGTCTCGCATCACGGTGCGGGGCCCAGCCAGAGGGAAGTCCTCATAGTCCACCTCCTCGCTTTCCGGCACCGCTTCTGCCACAGTGCGCCACCGCTCTTCTGCAGAGTCGAAAAGCACGGGCAGCACCCGCACATCCCTCTCAGATCCTTTGTTGTCAGGAGGCGACAAGAGCCTCTTTGCGGCCTCAAGACCAGCTCGCGACACTTGTCTCGCCAGCACCACCTGGCCTCCCTGCAAGCCATCAACGAAGATCGTGTACTTGTCACTCCCAGCGTTCACGATTGCACTGTCGGGGGGCGGAAAGACCTCAGCTCCCAAAGAGCCAGGAGAGCCCCCAAAGACCTGCATCCAGGCAAGCTCGCTGAGTGGCTGGGCTGCCGGCTGCTGCGCGCCGCCAGGTAGCACATCCAGTCCTCCTGTCCCTACCTTGCCCACACGTCGAACATGTGCACCGCCGCCCTTACTGAGCTTCTCAGCGACCTGGGCGTAGTGTCTGAGCTCTTCAGCAGTGAACTCTCCTCCACCGCTGTGTCGGGGCAGGTAAGTGTCGGCATCACGGATGCCTCTCGGCAGTCGGCCTGGCTGCATCCTCTTCACTTCCACGAACATGTTACCCTCCTCGAGGTCCACCTCGTTCAAGTCCCGATCGGGAGTCAGGACGAAACAGTGGTTTCCCTCTGTGCACTTGACGACTTCGCGAAAGTGCAAAAGATCTGGATCATCCCGGAAGCGCACGAGCGCGCCGTCTTGCTGCAGCCACTGCGGAGGGTTCGGGGTCGACATTGACATCTCCAGCCTGTTGTTCAAAAAGGCCTAGCTTCAATGGAACAGCGTCAATCACGGGCGGTGTAGTAACACGTCCCGGCGGCTCAGCACGCAGCAGTCGGTACCACAAAAATACGCAGAGAGTCACGCCGCAGATCAAACCACCAAGAAAACCAGCCACGATGGCCAGCAAGTGCTGACAATCACGTCGAGTCTCAGCTGCACCTAGATCTCTGAAGCAGGCCTCCTTATCTCGCTGGCACTGTCCTATGACTTGATCCTTCTTAGCCACGCCCTTCTCACAAGTGCCGTTCTTGTATTCTGTTAGCCAATATACGGCCACCCGGAAAAGATCAACCCCCACAGCGCGGCACAGGGTCCAGTCCATGTGCGCCCTTCTACCCTTGCCACTTTGAACTTTGAGATGAAAGATTCACAGAAACATGTCACTACTACGTCAAAACCCCACTAAAAGTGGGACTAATTATACTAATAAAACTAATAATAATCATAATGGCAATACAGTACAGTATATTGACTACATTTAATTATATCAAGATCACTAATTTAATATGTAAAATAATGCCTTCTTGCTTTTCGCCAAGATGCGCTGCTTCTCCTCCTCGGACATGGGCAGCAGGATGCCTGGTGCTCAGGCTCGGGTCCTAGGGTGCCCCTTGAGAAAGCCGAAACCTCCGCAGCTATCGGCCTGGGGGGCGCGGAGGCGCGGATGGCTCCCTCTCCTCTTCACTGCCAAAACCTCCTGAGCCAGTTGAGGATTGAAGATGGTTGAACGCCTTTGGGGCTCAGAGCTTTCTTTCTTGCGGCGAGGGGAGAGGGGAGGCGGGCGGGGGGGGGGGGGGGGGGGGCTGGTCTCAGACATGCTGCAGAGCCTCATGATCCTGGTCCCCCATGCAACCGCAAAATGGAACCCCATAGGCCTGTCCCTTCCGCGCCTGAGCTGGGATCCCAGCCCGGGGCCGCACGAGGCTCCGAGCCTGCGATCTCCGGCGGCGGGTCGGACGGTGGAGCGCAGGGCACCTGCAGGCGAAAGCGCGAAAGGGTTACAATGCTCTACATCCCCTTCCCAGTGCTTCCCAGTGGACATCTTTCAGCCGGAGCTGCGGAGACAGAAGAGATGGGCGTCGTTTGCAGAGGGACCGGCGACCGGGGCCATGTTGCATCGGCCTCAGCACCCGCTTCGGATTCGAAGGGCAACTTGCGGATCTCTGGAAGCTTGCATTGGCTTGCATGTTGCCGGCAAGGCTCCACAAGACCCGGCGGCGCCGTGATTGTCTGAGTGGAGCAAGCCACCTGGGATAGGCTGATAAGCTGATCGGGAAATTGGACCTAGCTCCCACGCCACAATCAAACCAGCGGCTGGCAAGGCACAACAGGTTGAGTTGAAAGCATCTTCGCAGGTTCGACGCAGGATGAAGCTGGGGATGCAGCTACCGTCTTTTGCCTCGAAAGGCGCTGTCCGAAATGGCTGCAGGGCGCAGGAGCGCAGCGGCGGGGCGGCTCAGAGATCCATGGCCGAAGCTTCCATTCACTGGCATCTCCAAGCCATTCCAAGCCCCATGCCGTTCCACCAGGGCGTCGGTGGGCCCGGAGCCATCTGAAGCTGCAGGTCAAAGGTCGTGATACCTGGGGAAAGATGGTTTGCGAGCACTTGCGAGTGCCCCTGCGATCTGCCGCCGGGCCACGCAAGCCGCCTGTGAAGCCGCGAACCCAGGCAACTTCCAAGGAACTCGTCGTCCTGCCGCATTGCCGGAAACAGCAAGGTGTTCTCATAGGTGCCCTTTAACTATTACTTAACTTACTGAACTGTTCTGATTCAATCCTTCTGTCTCACCCGCTGCCTGCTCTTGAGAGTCGGCGGTTGTGGCGTGCCCGGCACGGTAAAGTTCGTCTGCAGCGTGCGGTTGAGGTATGTCCTCGGGTTCTCGAAGAGGTCCTGAGAAGCAAAAATCACCCCAAAAGTACCCCAAGAAAGTGCCCAAAAACACCGAACATGCACGAGTGGGAGATGTGTTGCAAGGATCCCTGTGCCTGGTACGAGATGGACAAGAGGTACTCTGAGAGCGGCTGCAGGCTGGAATAGACGGGGGTTCCTGGAAGGGTTTCAGGGTCCCCCAGGCACGGAAAGCGTTGCACTGCCCTTGCCTGTAGATTCGAATCTTCTGATGTCCGGGTGAGCCAGAGCCTGCGGCACATGCGGAAAAAGGATCCGTGTCCTCTAGCTGGAGCTTCGCTGACTGGCTCTCTTTGCCTCATTGTTGATGTCACGAAACAGGTTGGAAGGACTCAACCTACCACAGGGTGTGAGTTCCCAGTTCAGACTAGGAAAGTATCCTCGGCTATCGTACGCCTGAGGACGTTCAAAGCCGTCCCGTCAAGAACCGACTGCTCCTCAAACGTAAGGACATGCACAGCTCTGGAACACAACTCTTCTCATCTCGTATCCGACTCCTTTGCGGGGTAGACCACGAAGCTATGCGGACTTTGAAGGTCTTCCTGTCAGAGGAACGCTCTCATCAGCTTCTGATCCCTAAACATTTTGCACTCTCACGGTTCCTTCGGGCTGGGCATGCCAGGAACTGGAGGCAAGCTCCGTAGCCAGATGAGGTCAAAACCTCAGCTGTGCGCCCCGGAGCTCCGAAAGATACCACAAATCATTAAATCGGAAGGGACCCTTAAATCAACAGCCTACTGAGCTGGACGCGCAGTGAGCCTGGCTGTGCACGTTCTGTCAAGGTATACTCGATGACAAGGGGGCTGTTTAGCCTCGCCACAAGGACAAGCCGGGCAGAGAGAAGCAAGGAAGGCGAGTCGACCTTTTCGACACCGCTAGCCGCCGAGATGCACAGTCGTAGGTTCGGCAACTTGCGTCACTTCCGTTGCAACGTCCCAAACGAAATCAACGTCGGAGACCTCAGTCCCAAACAGCTCTCTGCACCACACCTCTGACGACTCTGCAGCCATGTGCTGTTGGGACCGAACATGACCGAACGACACGTGCAGCTTCCTGGTGGGCGGAGTTCCGAGCCACGTACTTGGTCAAACATCGGCGCGTTGTTGTAGCGGTCAGCAACCCGTAAGGTTATATTGTAGCGGCCTGAGCATAGGTAAAGCACCAAGGCTTCTTTCCTCTTTGTCTCAAACTATTTATGTGTTGCTCTTCTCTCTCTTCTTCTGCTGGGCTTAAGTAGAGGCTCCCTCACGCACGAATGCGCTCTCACCATCTACATTCTTCTTTCTTTGCTCGGCTACATACGGACTAAACTCCCCTTGCAACCTGAACTCGAGGTGTAACAGCCTCCGAAGCAAAATCGCCCCAATCAACCCTTCTTTTATCTCTGCTTGCTTGCTTTTCCCTATGAACTCAACAGGCCCCCCCACCCCCCCCCCCCACGCGCGCTTACACGTAACTGTTCATCACGGGAAGCCCTTGCTGCGACCCTTGAAATGGTGAATTCTACGCAGCCGGCGCGTCTGCTCTCTCTTTGCTTTCTTTCTTCTGTTCGTTATGTCCTTCCTTTTTTTCGTTCTTTCTTTTCCTTTGTTCTTTCGTTCTCTCTTTCTGCGCGCCTAACCCCTCTGCATTTGTCCCTTTTTGTCCTGCAATTGGCCGGCGTTGCTACCCCACCCCCCCAAACACATGACCAGTCGAACAGTCTCATTCAATGCCACCAGGAACTGGAGGATGACCCCTTGACAGGCTGACACCCACGGGCAAGCCCGGCCTCCAGTGGTTAGGCGTGTGCCAGGTCCTCCGATGCCACCTCGGAGATCACACGCATGCCTGCTTCTCAAAGACCAAACCCCTCAATGATGATCATGTCCCAAAAGCTGGACATGAGTAGCACTGCGCAACGACCCAAACTGAGCGCAGTTGAAAGCTGGGCTTCGTTGCGCCACTGCAAAAACCACAACTTCACGAACGATTTGGCTGAGAACCGAGGCTGGCAGTGAGAACACGGCGCACGTACGGTGACTTCCTTCGTGGGCACGAGAAGGCAAATGAGACTCACACGAGAATAGCCAATTGCTCGCTTGCACGAGAATCATTAGATCAATTTGTATCACTCAGGAACAATCATGCTACATCTGCCACGCATACTTCAGAACAGTGAGGAATCCGCGGTTAGTCACGGCTAGTCGCTTAGAAGCCTCCTCCCGGCAACCCAATGTCTCCCTTCTGCAGAGGGTGCCGCGCTAAGCCCGGCCTTCCAGCCAAGTCTGCATTCAGCTCGCCCAAGTTCAGGTCGAAAGTGTAGGTCCCCCGAAGAGTGAGCTCCTTGCTGCCCCCCAAACCCCCGGAGAAAGATGCCAGCGCGAGACCTGCAAAGCTGAACCTGGCCTCAGCTAGCTGGATCTCATAGGGGGAGTCGGCGTCCTGCAGCCAGACTGGCAGTCACTGGCACTAGCTCTTAACAGCCTAGAAGGAGCTCTGTCCTGCACTTGTTGGCCGAAGCCCGGGAAGGTCCCCACGAAGGTCATGGTCAGCCACACTGACTCTGGGAACATGTCCTGGAATCAGCAAGCAGAACTTAAAGCACATGGCAAGCTCCCCCCTGCCGTGAACAACGTGTCCTCCAAGAGGGTGAACGACACCTGTAGCGCCTGCTTCGTGAAGCCTGGCCTCGGAAGTTCCGCTGATCTGTGCAGTTCGAGCTATTTCAGGAGAGATTCGAGTAGATTCTAGTAGGTTCTAGTGTTCAAGGGGTTACAGCTGGGTTTGATGCTGAAGCATCAAGCAGCTCGATCAGCAAACTGGGCCGATTGTTCATGAATGTTCCAAATTTGCACAAGATGTTTGGAAGGAGTGGTGCGGACCTGTGGCGATCCTTGTTCCTCTACCTTTGCGCGGCTATCAGCTGAGCGGAATGAAGCCGCGAAGCCGGCTTGGTGTCATTCCCGGATCCTCTGGGCAAGACGGAGCAGCTGTGTCCACTCCATATTGTGGAAGGAGCGTCGCAGGACTGCTGCACGTATACGGAACGGCGGAACGGCAGTACCGCAGCTGTCCATTCCACATTCGTATGCACCTCCCCCGACTCCAACGACTTTAGGAAATCCGTGTGCTGGGGCTCATGGGGGCGGTTGGGAGGGTGACACTCTTGAGATGTACTTGCGCAGCGCAGCATAGCCGGAGATAAATCCGTTTTGCACATGTCAGCTCAATCACTTGCTGACATGTTCACACTGGGCTCATTCAGAGAGAGCTGTCACTCAACCCGAGAGGACAAAGGGATAAACCGGGACGCAATGGGTTCGGCTCTTCAGCTGTCTACAAGCTGAAGTCTCTACGCGTTTGAGGACCTGGGTCAGCCTGTGCAAGACCCCCGAATAGGACTCAGAAGCAGGCGCTGGTGCTAGCAGCGTCGGCGGAAGGGTCTGCAAGTCGTAGGACCTGAACAACTTGCCCGTACTGGCCGCAGTGGCCAAGACACAAGAGTGAGGCCCCACCCCCTTCTGACTTCGCCAAGGTCTGCACACCTCATACCTTTGCAGCCAATGTATTGCTGCTGGATGGCCGAACGAATCCTGCCAGGAAGCCATCCACCAGTAGTCTTGGACAGTCTTGGATTGTCTTGCTGAATTTTGCATACCAGCTACTCAGAAACTCTCGCCGCTCGCCTGGTACGAGAGCACAACAGAGTATGCGCCACCATCCACCAACTGGTGTTGGGTCGTTCCGTTGACATACGTCGACGTGATGTTGCGAATGGCGGCTCAGTCACCAGGCCACATCTTTCTACGTAGAAAGAACAGACCCCATAGCAGACGCTGCAAGCGTGTACCCTGCAAGCTGAGCCCGGAACGAGATGGCCCCAAGCGCAGGTCATACCAATGTGACAAGTCAAAGGCTGAGATGTTCAGCTGATTGATGACAGGCGCATTCCAAGAGGCCGGGAACTCGATCACATGGGGAGAGTATGGGTCCTGCCATGGATGTCAGCAGTGCGCTCCACCACGACAGGGGGGAGAAGTTGCAGGTCAAGACTGAATCATGGGAGTCTCCGGCGAACCGTCGATGTGCGTGAACGTCAACCTTACACAACTCTTTTGTGTGTCATACTGCACGATGTACACGACGGCTACGACTCTTGTCCAGCTGAGCGAGATGCATTGGCGAGCCGGCCAGGGCAAACTCCGCAAAGAAGATTGCCTAAAAGGCTTTCGGTGCTCCAGAGCGCACACCAAACTCTCGCTGCTAAGCTGTTGCTGAGAGCGTTGGCCATGTTAATGTGCTGCTTCGTCCTGCAGCTTAGAGGAATTTTGTTGCACGGGGGCCCAAAATATGATGGAGCTTCTTGGCTAAACGAGAGACCGAGAGAAGGCCGCCAAAGGCCTCAGGGGCGTGGAATAGCCGGGAATGTATTCGTAGATGCGCATGGAGGGATCCTGCACCAAAGGCGGCATGCCGCGAGACCAAACTCACCAGTAACTCCCAGATACCCCAGTCCTCTCCATTGATGTCCAGCGGATCGTTCGAGTAGTCCAAGATCGAAGGCCTCAGCTTCCAGCACCAACAGCTTAAGCTCAGGTTCATGGCACCCCATTTCCGAAACACACGCCTACAGCTTGGATCATCTAGGCCAGTCTAGGCATACCCAAGCACCTGGCGGGTAGGTGGCAGCGTCCAGGGGCACACCTGACTGTCCAACGTTGTCGCTGCCCCAGCACCTTGCCTTCCAGTGATGCAGCCAAGGCGATTTTTCAAAACAGTATTCGGTCGTTCTGCACTCTGAGGACACACGAAAGAGATCACAATGAAGAAACGCTGCTGGCCGTGCCTTCTGGTCTATATCCAGTATACAGGCATGGATGCCACCGCAACTCAATGCCGTGGCGTTTCCGGGCGTCCTGAAGTCCAAGCCTCAGTGGGGACAGTGCCGAGTCATGCAAGTTGTGCACATTTCGGATGTGACCACCGAAGGTAACCAGAACATGCCAGAAACTAAACTGGGCAACCGGCGATACAGGCTGACGCGGCCCCAGCACCACACCTCCAAGCCCAGCGTTAGACCACAGGTGTGGAAGTTGCCAGCTGAGATGGAGCTGAAGGTCTCCTGGCAACAACAACACGTTTTTTCTTGTTGCCATGGGGGGGTGCATCCTCGCGTGCAGAAGTTGTCTCACTATTTTTGCTTGAGCGGGCCGGGGGGGGGAGGGGGAATCAGCTCCTGCACGCCGCTTCGGCCCTGGTCCTGAAACAGCTGCTATTGGGCGGCAACTGCATAATGGCATTATGGCAACTGCATCTTGTGCGGTGAGAGCACATGGGTCCTTCCCCGGCACCTGCAGCTGCAGCTCTGAGTCATCACCCCAACAGATGACATTGTCCTGCCCAAGAGGTCGCGAGGAGTCGCAAGACGTGAGGTGTCACGAGGTGTCACGAGGTGTCACGAGGTGTCACGAGATGTCACGAGATGTCACGATGCTTGCAAGGACTTGATGATCAACTGGCTCCCTGTTACTTTGTCAACGCACGAGGGACCCCAAACCCAGTCCTCTTGACGCAAGCTTAAGGCTTGTAACGAAGTCTGGGCGACAATGCCGCAGCAATGTCTATCACCGCATGCCACCTCCTGCAGGGAAGCTCTGAAAGGAGCGGCGCCACAAAAGAAATGACTTGAAAGAGTCGAAACTGCTCACGGTCTAATGAGGCGTTGGCCTCCCAAAGCACGTTGTCATCTTCCTGGTACGGAATCGCCTGCCTCCCATAGCCTGCGCCAGTGACCGCCAGTGACCGATTGTCCGGCTTCGTGTCGGGTCTGCTAGCTTGCAATTGTGGGGCGAACCTTGCTTGCCCCAGCAATGCATCTTTCCGGTAGCGTTCACTGCGCATGTGTGCACGGTTCCAGCATCCGCTTGCAGCCACGTGTTGCCCGGCGGCACCTGCGGCAACATGTTATGTCGTTGCTCACCCCTACTGGCAGCCTATTGGCATTTTGTCACGATCCCACGCTCTGACAAGGCACGTCCAGCTCGAAGTCGAGGCTGGACCCCCAGCAGAGGAGCTCGGAATTCACCGTGAGGCCGCAGGTAAATGCCTGAAGCCGACAGAGAAGGCCCCCAGAAACCCCCACAGAACACGCTTTTTTTGCACATCTCTTTGTAGACACTCCGGCCTCGCCAAGGGTAAGCTCCACGAAGCCTTGAGCCGCTGAATTTTGTGCATTTTCGTGCAAAACACAAGAAGAACACACAGAGTTCGGCTCCGAACTAAGAACTTTGACGGAAGTCCTGAGGGCGCTGGCTGTATCCACGTGGCACATCGCACTGCCCTTCTCGGACTCGACCCCAGCACAGGGTCTCGCCTTGGGCATCTTGACATATATTGTCTGCCTGACACTCGAAACTATCGCCAGGGCGCCGGTATCGATGATCCCACAGGAGTGCGACGTACCCGCAAAGAGCCGATGCCACAGGAAGCCTTGAGGTATGTAGACCTGCAACGGGAAAGCGGCACCATGACCCACACATCCCATTAGACAGACCTCACTCGAACTCACTCGTGCCCACAACGAACACAACTCACACTGCTTCTGATTTTTAAAGCTTCGCGCAGAGCGCAGATTTCACAGAGCCACGATTGGGCAAGCAATTCGGGATTCCTCAGGCAGGGCCCAAGAGATCAACTAAATGAAACGCGTTGAGAAGTTCCTCCCCAGCAACCAAGTCATCTTTGAACTTGACTGCTTTCACTATCTGCTCGATGTTGGCCTGCCCAGATGCCACTTGGCGCTTCAGAATGGTGCATTTCCAAGTGAACATCAAGTACTACGAGATGTCGCGAACAGTCACTGAGACCCTCCCGATTCAGCCTGCAACAGTTCTCCGTTGATTGAGGAGTTCAGTGCTTCCAGACTCCACTTCACCTGGTCTCGAGTGATGAGGCCATTGCGGCCAATGTATCGGAAGAGTCCCGACAGGGCGTTGCGGTGTGCCCAGACCTGCCAGCAACTGCAAAAGTCTGTGGCGGTGTCCTCTAGTACATACTTCAACTGAAATATGCTTCGGCATTCGACACAGCACAGCACTGTCACGAGCACCTGGAAGCACAGAAGATCAAGAACAGCTTGGTGTGTCAGCGAGCGGGGCGACTGTCGGTCAAACAGGAGCAAGAACTCCAAGTAGTTCAATTTGCCTTCAGCGAAAACTGCCAAGACCTGCAAAACCCTCTATGCTGTTGTATGATTGCATCTTCCGCATCTGCACCTGTTCCTGTCGTATCGGCGACCTGCAGCACTCCTCGCAGTTCCGCAGCTTCTGCCGCCGTGGCCTGCAGATCAATGCTGGGCAATGATGGCAAGTACCTTCCCTAACTTTCCGGAGCCCTTCTGAAGCATCTTGGAGCATCCCGGCGCACCCCGGCCTCCCGCCCCGTCGTCTGCTTCATGTGCTTCATCAGCGCTTCGAAGCCTTCCTCGATGGACATGAATCCTCAGATATCTTCACATCCTTTCATGTCTAGGTCCTGAACACAAGGGGGCGACACGCGCCTAGACTCGGTCACACACACACACATCCACCCACCCACCCACCCACCCATCCATCCACCCACTTACTTACTTACTGACCTTCTTAGGTACTTACTTACCTAACTTTCCTTAACTTAACTTAACTTAACTGACTTAAATTACTTAAACGATTCAACTTACTCAACTTGCTTAACTTGCTTAACTTGCTTAACTTACTTAACTTACTTAACTGCTTATTTGACTTACTTGACTTTATTTCTTTCTTTCTTTCTTGCTTTCTTTCTTTTGCTTCGACCAACGGTCGTGTATGGGCTCCATGCAATCCCGCGTATCAATCTCACGAAATTATTTGCTCTGAAAGGCTCCATACCACAAATGTTTGGGAAGTCGAAATGTACTACCAGCAACACATCGAGATTAAAGCTTGCAGGTACGCAGCTCGGCGTCCGGAACTGTACCCTACTCTTGGGCATAGCTTCGTTGCACTGGGTTTGCCAAGGATTGCCCAATGCCCAAACCGTACATGACGGACAGCAAGATGCCAAGCTCTTACTTTCAGGGATGTGAGCAGTCACAAGGCGTGCCAAAAGTCCGTCACCATTGGTATCTGCCAGGGTGAAGAAGTCCATCCTCAGCAGTTGCGGCTTCTTCTGGGTGCAATTCGGAGCCCTTTTCGCTCAACATCTTCTTTTGAGATTCAAATCGAACACCTGCTCGATCTGATCGCAAAATCTATTGACCATCGGGACATTGAAAAACTCTGTGGCGCCGTAACCTTGAAGAAAGCTGTTCTTTTGTTACGCCCCGTCCAACCGAATGGCAGCCTCCTTCACATTCGGACGTTGGGCCCCCATGTATACCAACTAAAACCTTCCTCTGGCACTTGCTCTATGTCTACCTGCGATCTTTGCAACCATGGCACAGGGTTGTGGACGAAGCCGGAGCCAAACTACTGATCCTCTGCACGTCTGTCTGCTTGCTGCTTACGATGCTTCGGTTCCGTTCAGGTTCCATTCTGTATCTTTAAGGCGGCTGCACTTTCAGGGTTTTCGATAGGTCCATTGAGGTCCTCTTGCGGCAGCGCTTGTCATGGCCCAGGAGCCGCGAGATCTTCGTCGAAAGCTCCGACTGTTCACGTGTCAGCTCCGCAGAGACGCCTGTGATGGCAAAGAGCAGATAGCAGATGCGACGATTTGCAACTGCAGCTAAGTCAAGAGAGAGAGAGAGAGAGAGAGAGACAGAGAGAGAGAGAGAGAGGCTGGTGACACAGAGAATCCCACGCAGTGACAAGTTTCTCAGGGATTCATCAAGCTAGCGGCACCTGCTGCGCATCGCCAAGCAGATAGAAAGTCAGCAACATCGATTAAGGATGTCCGTCGACTGCCAATGTGAGCTTCCATGCTGCGCAGCACGGCAGCCATCTCAGGTCCTGTCGGCAAACGGTCGGCGGAGCCTTGCAACTCATGTCCACCCTGCAGCTCGAGTGCCGCACCGGTCACGTCATTTCGACGCAGGATTTCACAGAGACCTCGCGCAATCGCACCCGATGAACCTGAACCTCACCATCCATTGAGGCGGCCAGTCGACAAGGTGAACAAAGAAAAAAAGAGAGGCCCCTGCCATCCAATAGTTCTCTTGCCGGCGCAGCCCGCTGGCCCGCCTGACTGTCAGGAATCCAAAAGACTCTGACTTGCATTCTGGAAGCATCCTGTTAAGCCCATCCTGACAGAGGCTGCCCATGAGATGCTGCAGCGACTCGTCTGCACGCATCATCGTCAGGTAGATAGAGGCCAAGACCGAACTGGCGAGCCGGCTTTCCACGACCTCCACAGCAGACCCTCAATAGTATCTCTCACACATGTCCCCCTCACCTGCCCTTCCACCTGCGAGGCAATCTCGAAGCCAAAGCGGTTCAGGGTCTCCATGTACCGCAAGTTGTTCTGGCTGGCCCCACCCACAAGGCGGGCCACAAGCACCCAGTCGATGTAGATCTTGGTCGTGCTTCGGCAGATCCGCCGCCAAGAGTACAAAGGAATCACCCCTGTCAGCTTCGGATCTTCACCTCCGCGAAATGTCGGGGGCATTGTGGGAGTTTTCTGGGCTTTCTACGCCATTCTGTGCTTTCGCCGTTCTATGCTTTCCGGATTTTCAGAGGAAGCCTGAGGACCGGACGTGTGCAAGCCTCCCAGAGCGGGACACGCCATTCTGCCAGCAGGCCCATCGCGTGCTGGAGCAGCTCCGCGATGAGCTCATGATCAACTTAGGGAGATCCCAAGCAACTTTGAAACCACACCTGCTAATTATACATAATAACAGTAGAATAAGCAAAGTGTGGATGCGACGTCCCCACGACAGCACCCTCGCCAAGCCGCCAGTGTCGCTCTGCAGCCTCGTGCGGGGTCGCCTTTCGGACAATCCAAACCCCCCCCCCCCCACTCCCCCGAATAAACAGCGGCGCCTGTTTCGGCCAACCTGCAACATCCCGAATAGAAGCCAGGTGCAAACCGGAGGGGGGTCCCAACTGCCGATTTCCTTCCTTTGAAATAGCGCAAACATGCATCTGAACGACCCCGACTTAAGCCCTGTTATCTAACATTGGAGCCTCAAGTTTGCCGACTTCGAAAGCACCCGCCAGGACGGGCACTGGCCCAGATTGTGGCCTGGGAAGGGGCTCTTCATTCTTTCTGGTTTGGGATTTGGTGTTTAGGGCTTTTTGCTTAGGAGCTGAAAAGAACGAACCAAGACTAAGCCCTAAACATCCCTCAGCGTTCCATGTCCCCTGGATTGAAAAAGAGCGAGTCAGCCACAGATTCGCAAAATTGAAAACGTGCGGATTCGGAAATTGGAACACGTGATTCAGGAAACTGCAAAACCTGGATTCGGAAGCTGGAAACCCAGGCATCTCGAAACAGCGGCATGTTTCGGTGACAGTAACAACCTCCAAAAAAATATGTCTGCTTTCCTTCCGGAATTTCTGGGAGTGGCTAAACAAGACGAGGTCGCAATCAAGGTGTCGGGGTCTGGGGGGTCTGGATGTGTATATATATATATGCTCACCCCCCCCCCCATGATCTAGGTCGAAAGGCCCTTCGGGCCCATCGAAGCGAAATTTAAACCTAAGTCGGAATGAAAATTAAAAGGCCACTGGCCTCATTCGTAGTAAAATTTTTTTAGAAATCTAAATTTGCCAATTAAAAGCCGCACCCTATGAAATCCTCTTCTGGGGCCTGCCTGTCCGTAACAAAATCTCACAAGAGCTTTATATGCAGAGGTTACAGCCTCAGAAATCCTCATCTGGGCTTCCTTCCTATTTTATTGAGAAAATGCTTCTACATAAGAAGCCCACACCCTACGAAAAGAATTCTATACTTAAAGGCCACACCCTATGAAATCCTCTTCTGGGCCCTCTTAATGAAATTTCAGTAGACTTGTGTCTGATAAAGCCACAGCTTCGTTCGTAATTAACCCAAGTAAAAAAACATATTAAGAGGCCCAGCCCCAAGACATCCTCTTCTAAGCCTCATTGATTAATACCTATTTAGAACATTTTTGTTTTTCCCACACACTGTGAAATCTTTCGCTGGCCCCATTCGTAATGAAACGCAATTTGATTTCATATTGTAAGCCCACACCCTAAGAAATCCTCTTCTGGGCTTCGTTCGTAATTGAACCCAAGTAAAGCAAGTGTATATTCAGAGGCCAACCCCAGGACATCCTCCTCGCAATGAAACCGAGTTAGAATTCTATATTGCAGACCATACCCTATGAAATCCCTTTCTGGCCCCTATTTGTAATGAAGATTAATTAGAATTCTGTATTACAAAGCCACACGCCAAGAAATCCTCATTAGACCTTCGTTTGTAATTAGACTTATTTTCGATTTGCCAAGATGCTTGTATTAAAAAAAAGCCACACCATTCTGGGGCCTGTTCGTAACAGAATCTCGTAAGAAGTTTATAATTCTAGGTAAGAAGCCCACACACTAAGAAGTTCTGACCTAGGCTAGGTTCGTATGTAACTCTTGGACAGAAATTTATATCATGAGCCCCCATTCGTATTTGAATGTACTTACAATTCCATATTTAACCGCTAGACCCTATGAAATCCTCTTCTGGTGCCTATTAGTGAAATGTCAATAGACTTGTATATGATAAAGCCATAGCTTCGTTAGTAAATTAAACCCAAGTCAAACAAACAAATTAAGAGGCCCCGCCACAAGACATCCTCTTCTAAGCTTCATTGGTTAATACCTATTTGGAATTCTATTTTGCAGACCACACCCTATGAAATTCTCCCCTGGCCTCGCTTCATACTACAATGTTATTTGAGGTTTGTATTCAAACGCCACACCCTAAGAAATCCTCATCTGGACTCGTTTGGAATTCCACTTAAATTGAATTTTAAGTTTAGAGGCCACACCCCTTTGGACAGAATTTAAAAGGCCACACCCTAAGACCTGTGTATGGTAAAGCCACAGCTTCGTTCGTAAAACCAAACCAAGTAAAACAATTAAGAGGCCACGCCCTTCTAAGCCTCATTCGTTACTACCTCTTTGGAATTTTATTTTACCGACCACACCCTGTGAAAGTCTCCTCTGGCCCCGCTTCGTAATGAAATGTAATTTGAGGTTTGCACTAAAACACCACACCCTAAGAAATCCTCAACTGGACTTCCTTTGTGATTCCACTTAAATAAACGTTTAAATTAAGAGGCCACACCCCAAGACATCCTCTTCGAAGCCCCACTCTTTTTTAAGTCCAATTAGACTTTTGAATTGCAGGTCCACATCCTCAAAAGAACCACACCCTAAGAAACCCTCTCTATTTCTTTTTTTTATTACTTTTCATATTAAGACGCCACATCCCAAGACATCCTCTTCTAAGCCTCATTCGTAATTAAATCTAATGGAACTTTACATGTTAACGCCACGCCCTGCATACCGAATAGGCTGAATTGAAAAAAAACGAATGGTGGGTGTGTTTGTGTGCTTTTCTCTGTGTGTGTGCAAGGCAGTCACATTAGCAGAAACAACGTATAACAATACACATTCTTTATACAAGAAAAGCATTTTTTGCAAAATTTGTTAAAAAAAACCCAAAAATCCAAAAATCCAAAAATTCAAAACCATGGAGCCGGGAGGCCGCCTTTTTTGGATTTTTTGGTTTTCTCGAGGTTTTTTTGGTTTTTTTTGGAAAAATCCAAAAAAAACCATGTGTTTTTTTGGATTTTACTTGCTCCTGGCCTCAAAAACCTAAAAAACACATGGTTTTTTTTGGATTTTGAGTGAAAATCCAAAAAAAACCATGTGTTTTTTTAGTTTCTGAGACCAGGAGCACCTGAAATCCAAAAAAACACGAGGGTTTTTTTGGATTTTCACTCAAAATCCAAAAAAAAACCATGTGTTTTTTAGGTTTTTGAGGCCAGGAGCAAGTAAAATCCAAAAAAACACATGGTTTTTTTTGGATTTTTCCAAAAAAAACCAAAAAAACCTCGAGAAAACCAAAAAATCCAAAAAAGGCGGCCTCCCGGCTCCATGGTTTTGAATTTTTGGATTTTTGGATTTTTGGATTTGTGTCAAATTTTGCAAATTCTGCAAAAAAGAAGTGTGTTTTGCATACAATTCTGTGTTTATAAGCCTGTCCTATGCAAATAATTCATAGACATGTTTACCAAATTGCATTTTCATGTGTTTTTTGGGTGTTTTTTTATGTGGTGATGTGGAAGTAGTGCTAAACACACGCGTTTTTCACTATTTAGATGTTTTCTCGCACAGGACTAGACGTGCAAAAACAGGACATCGCCTAGCATAGCCAGCATGTCATTTTAATCGGTATTTACGAGGGTTTTTATAGGGACAAAGCAAAACCTAGATCATGGGGGGGGGGGGTGACCATATATATATATATATATTATATGTATGTATATTATAATATATATATACATATGTATTAATGTATATGTATGTATATGTATGTATATGTATAAGTTTAGGGATACGCGCCCGAAACCTTCTGCTGATTGAAAGTGCTCTTGGACCGGGATCCCCGGGCCGAATACTACAACGGACTACACTTCTCAACCCCCATCATACGTGTGACCTCAACATCATTCGGGAAACTACAACCCCCCCCCCCCCACACTCCCCCTCCCCCCCACCCCCCCCCCCCCACACCCACCACGTGGTTTCCGCGTGACAGGAAGCCATTTTCCTGAATCGCGTGGTTTCCTGAATCGCGTGAAGCCAGGTTACCGAGACAGACAGAGAGGCAGAGAGAAAAAAAGCTGTGGTGGGGCAGAGCTCAGACCCAACAGAAGCTCAAACCCCTCTGGCTAGAGGACACGCACACTGGCCGGTCATCTTTCCCTATACCATTCCCTAAACTTCACGAAAAGCCGAGAGAGCCGAGGGACACAAAGCCTCCAGGAGGTCTGGGCTCGCTCCGGGCTGCAGGATCACCGCACCCGCCCGGTTCTTTCGGCCCCTGGGCGTTCTTGGACTTCCTATGACTTTTTGACTTTTTGTTTTCTTTGGGAAGGGGGGGGGGGGGAGGGACGGGGGGATCATATGGGAGATGGATTTAGATGTCCTGAAACGTAGGTCTCAGCCCTCCCCCGGCCTGTAGTTGGAAGCACTGAAGACCGTGATCACCTGCTCTTTGTGGGCCTTGTGTACGTACACACCACTCCTGGGAAGAGGAAGCATCTACCGGAATATCCTAGCATTCTGCGCCCTTCGATGCCCCTTCACTAGAGTCGGGGGATTGCTGGGAAAGCTGAGCTCAGGGTCTGGTCCAGTGGAACTTGATGGGATCGAACCACCAGTTTCACATCGTTGCTTTGGCAGAACCTGTTCGTGTAGTCAGGGCCCCAAATGTGTCCGGTTCCCCGCGCATTGGCACGGCTGCCCGGCACATCACTGGGATCGGACCACAAGGCATCCACCAGGGAATCCATGGCCACATCGCCCTCCAGACCCCATGGGTTGATGGAGGCCTCCCACAGGTTTAATTCATTGAAGCAATCAGAATCTTCGGCCTTTGTTTTAGAAATACTTGGTCCACAGCACTATCTGTTCACAAATAGCTTAATAGATGAGCACTATGGGCTTAAGGAAGGTGGGGGTGGGAGCCTCACGCAAGGTCGGGTCCAGGTCGCGTAGCCTTGTCAGCTGGTTCTCCGGATCTCGTCCCACTCCCCCATGGATGATGAGAACCGCGTCATTGACCAGGGTTCCTACGGGGAGGATGGAAAAAAGTTGGCCGAACAACGCGTGCAGATAGGGGCCCCAAGTGGCGCCGTACTTCTCCAGCAACCTCGGCATCTCTGTATCTCTCCGCATGTCTCCGTAGCTCCGTGTTTTTTTCCGTGTTTTTGGGGTGGGCGGTGGGCAGGACAGAGTAAGTTAAATCTCAACACTTTAAGACTTTCAGACCTTCACAAATCTTGTATCTTATGAACTTCTGAATAGCAGCTCGTACTGAAACCCGCCGCATCGCGAGCCATTGATGGTCATACATTCATGGTTGCCGCGATTGATGACAACCACCGGATCATTTGGATATTGCAACATGATCGTCAGGAATAACATGAAGATCTCCGTCGACCAGTCGCAGCGATCTGCCTCGACAGGTGATGGGCTGTTTTCACAGCTGATGCAAAATTGTGTCGTAACTTAGTACCACTTAGCAGGAAGCTCAGCACCCAAGCGGATACTCGCGATGCTCAGCTAAGTCTCAATGTCACCGTTGACTACATACACGTTCTTCTCACTCGGGATGCCAAGCTCTGAGACGGCCCAAAGTACGTCTGCCAGCTGCCCATGCGTGTCGCCCAGAACCACAATCCTGGCGCGCTTGAAGGAGGTCCCACAACACGCAACGCGTCATCTGCAGTACTTACAGTACTTACAGTACTTACAGTACTTGCAGTACTTACAGTACTTACAGAGATTGTTGGCCTAGCCGTGTACAAGTCGTGTGCAGGCCCCAGAACACCGTACACCAAGTCCTGGATGGACCCGGGCTGCCGCTTTCAGTGACGTTCACGTGCAGAGCGGCCGAAGCACCAGGGACCTGGAGACCAGGGACCTGGAGCTTCATGACGGGACCATAGGCCTGGTCCCGCTTCTGGTAAAGGTCAATGGACAGCTCCAGGATCCGCAGGACGAAGTGGGGATGCAGCGGAACATCGAACTCGTCCCTCAAGTGGCCCAGCAGCTCCGAGGCCGTGGTTCCTGCTCTGCTTCTGTTTGACTAATTCTTTAAGTAGAATCTGGACATCTGATCGGATAGGATAGGAGAGCCTCAAACCGAATCATGTTTGTGAAGACTGCAAGGCCCTTCGTTCACGGCTTCTGGGCGAAGGCAGCCAGAAACTCCCACTCTGATAGGCTGATAGGCGTTCAGGAGGGGACTCGGAAGGACCCTGACAGACTCTGAAACCCGAGATTCTGAGATCCTATCCTTCCAGGATGGGCCGCAGGGTCTCGCTCGGGAGCGGCAGCATCTTGTACTCGCGGTTCTCCACGGGTAGGTCAAGAGGCACGTGCTCCTTAAGAACACTGAGAATGGCCGGGGGGGGGGGGGTGTGCATGAGAACCCCGAAGTAAACTCAAGAAGCACTCCACCCTGACACCCTAAACACTCCAGGAATTCTCTGGGGTTGGGCGCACTCCAGAGATTCTCTGGAAATACTCTGGGGCTTCTGTGAAGATACTCACTCTGGGGTTGAGGGTTCGGGAGATGGGCGAGGAGTAGACCAGGAGCTGAGAAGAGTGTACTTTAAAATCTACAAAACAGAACATGTTCCTTACAGCGCACGGCAGGGACGTGTAGTCTGTGATGGGGTCGGCTTGGCATCTGGGAGTCGTACTTGCCTCAAAGGGCACAGAAGGCTTCGTAGGTTTTAGGTTTGGGGGTTTAGTGAGGGTTTCGGGGCCAGAGATTACCATGGCTAGCAGGCTCGAGTCCTGAGGGTGTGCATATGCTGTGACTTGGAAAGCTCTTGGAAACCTTGCGAACCAGGCAAGGGATAGTGCACCGAGCGAAATGCCAAGCTACGTATGAGGTCTGCAAGGAGAACCTGGTCGACTGACACCCGGCTCTCCTGATGATCACGGCTCGTGTGCATTGCCTTGCGTTCAGGAATCCGGGTGCAATTTGGGATAAACAGTGATAAGCACCATCCTGGATGCTTTCCAGCTCCGTAACCAGCTCGAGCAAGTCATGGTGCGTCGCCTCGATGCTTCTTTGCACACCACTTGCGCCCGCGTCAACTCTTCAACATTACACTCATTACACGCTTCATGTACATCCGGTGTGCTGCTTCAACTCTTCTGCCCTTCCAGTCAAGTCATTCAAGAATTTGGCGCGGCAACACTTCGCATGAAGGGGATGCCTGCGCGATGCCGGAAAGCCCAACTGCCACCCTCAGTCAGTCATGAGACTCTGAGACGCGTGTCCATCCGTGTCTGTTGTTTTCTCTTGTTTAAACAGGGGTACATCCTGACCAAACCTGCTACGTCCTGACACAGGCAAGCCACAGGAGCTCCTGGATCTTTGCCCGAGCCCCTTCCAGGCATTCTGCGCAGAACGCCATGCCATCTTAGGCTTCGCTGGCAGAGCCGACTGTGCTGGTTTTGAGATTTAGAATCTAGTGAGTCTCATGAGTAGGGTTCGGAGCTTGGGGCTCACTGAGTAAGGCTGAACTGTACGACTACGAGAGCGGTGACCGTAGAGGGCATGCGCTGCCAATTGCTGCGTCCATTGCTGGACTGTTGGCCAAAAGCGGAAAAGCTCTTCCAGACACTTCATGCAAGCATGCAATTCTGCAATGCTCTCAGCGCCTTCGGCCGTTCGCTCAAGGGGAAGCCCCATGTTATTGGAGTCCCATCCTTGGTTTGCAGGGATGTCCCTAAACCCCTAGGGGCCAGAGCGTTCCTGTGTTGAGCACCACACGGTTGTGACAGCCAGCGTGTAATCAGCACCACATGAAATGGAGCTGAACTCCCTCTCGCTGCCTGCCAACCCAACAATCCACGATAAACAAGTGTTTTCTAGAAAACAAGTGCCCGCCTATCGCGCTGACAGCAGCCGCCTGTGACAAGGATAGCAGCTTTTGCACTGCAAACTGTTGGGCTTCGCTCGTTCCTGCTGTGAAAGAACGCGGCACAAAGACATCTCGCAGAGAAGACGTCCAATCTAAATTGACGAGCTGTCAAAAAAAGCTGAGGACGACCCTTCAGCCGACTCAAAGCAACGAAATGGCCTGGAGGAGGAAGCAAGGAATGTAGGCCTGGCAGGCAGTTGCGAACTTCCCCGAATTCAGAGCTTCCCCCCCCCAAGGTTTGTAAGGTTCGCCTGCCAGTTCACGCGCCGAGCGAAGCAGCCCATCATTGCTCATACGAGGTCTCCCGGAATGTTGCCGGGTACATATATCCAGTTGGCACTGGTGGACCCCGTGCAGCGAGATATCGCGAGTGTGCTCTCAAGAGGCTCTAGCTCGTTGCCTGCTGAAAAAAATCACAGTGTGTGACAGTCCGTCCTCATCGAAGATTGTGATGTCTAAAGATTGGTCAACCAACATCGCATAACAATGTTGCCTCTGCACATCCCCTCCCAAACAATACTACAACACTCATGGAAGCCGGATGCATGCATGGCCGGCACAGCTGGCATGGCTGTCAATGCGATCTTGCTCTGTTCGGATGTGGCGGGGGGGGGGGGGTGGGGGGGTAGTTCTGTTTTGCCTTTGGTTTGGATATGGTTATATGTGCCTCCAGCTTTGTCCAAGGGTCCGAAGGGCAGAGTCCTGTCCTTCACAAAGGAGGAACATCCTCCGACCGGTTGCCCACGACTGGGCAGGCGCTACAGAACTCACAACATCTTCCTCCAGGCTCACCTCCTCAGCACCCATCATTTAGCACTGGCTTAGTGGACCTCAACAGCCAAGGTTGCCGGCGCGCTCCATCGCCGCATCTGCTCAAGAACCTCTGCAGGTACTGACATCTTCGACCTCCACAGGCTACATTGCGGCTACATCCTCCGCCCTTCGGATGGTCTCATATGGTCTCCCCGAAGGTGGCACAACGTTCGCCTTTGTTGATGTTGAGCCATGTTGAGCCTGTTCAGAGATGAACTAGCGATGCACTCAGTTGTGTTGGATTGTTGGGCAGTACGGAAAAGACTGGGGGCCATCCTCTCATCCTCACTTCCTGCGGCCGTTGACGTCCTTGGCCTGCCTGGGTCCCAATTTCATTGTTTAGGAACATGCGGGACGAGGTTGAATGGGCAAACAAACCCAAAAGGGAAGTGCCGAGCCCCCGAAGACATGACTCATGACATTGTTCTGTGTGGCTCACACACAAATTCATGACGGCTGCTTAGAAGGCGGTGCTCTTTCGGCAAAGTCTTAAACTTTGCCAGTCCGCCCTCCAGGAGCTCTGAGCTGTACAATCCGGTACGTTAACATGAGGGTGAGACTGAAACTTGAAGGGCCCCTCGCAGCCCAGCTTGCGGTTCAGGAGTTCATGGAGTCCACCGATCCCATGGGAGACTTTGACTGGTGGAACCGCACCTTGGTCTAAAAACGGCAGGCGCTGCCCCTCACAGAAGAAAAAGAGGAAAATTTTCAAAAAAGCTCTGAGGCTCCTGCAGCTGACAGCGCCTTGCCCACTGGAGGCCCACTTGAAACTGAGGAGTGGGAGTCGCCCACTGAGCCGGTGGACCTAGCATCCACGCGCTCCACGCGCTCCCACGCGCTCCCATGCCCTCCCACTCCCGTGCTTTGGGGTGCAGTTGGGCCCGGGCTTGTGCAGCTCCTCCTCCGCCTTTCGCTTCATGAGGTTGTCCAGCCTGCACAGAGACCACGTCGTGACCACGTGAGCCGACCTCCCCTGAGGTGGACAAAGCGCTGAGGCAACTGCTCCTGGGGTACAAGCTCTTCTCGCACCCTCAGAAAACGTAGCTTCTACTCGTAGCCACCAAACAGTGTCAGAGTCTCACAAGCACTCTTTATCAGGGGCCTCTGATGATGGCGCTGCTGCTCCTTCTGCTCCGCCTGCTTGCGAAGCTGCCGCGCCAGCCGCAGCCTCGGTAGACTCCGCTTCGACCGCGCTTCTCCTCTTTCGAACCCCTAAGAAGCCTCTGGGAAACTTCAGAGCTGAGTGCAAGGCTCCTCCTGGGACTTATGGTGGGCACTGGCTTCATGCGACTTCACTGGCTTGCTCAGCTTGCTCCCTTTGGGCCCTCGGTGAATGGCCGGAGCCTGGGAGAAAAAATGCAAGAAACCAAGGAGCTCAAAGCGGAGTTAAACAGAAGCAGCTCACAAACCCTGTGCCTCTTCGAAGAGGCCCTGAGCGGCCTGGCAACCCGAGGCCGTTACTACATGCTCTCTGGGGACTGTCCCAACCAAAAAGCAACCACTTGAATTCGCTTCAACTCCTACGTCCAACATGTCAAAACTCCATCCATCCGAGCCTGCGGCACTCCCTTGCTGTGGCTCTGGCTCCGTTCCAGCCTGGCACGATCGGCACGATCCAGAGACTTCGGTGCGAAGTCTCGCAACGACTTGCGATGCCCGTGTCAGTGGACACAGCCGGCGGTGCTGAGGTTTTCCTGTGGATGGCAAGGCTTTCTGGACCTGCTGCAGTGAGAAGCCCTGCAAAAAGAATACCAAAAGATACAGACGGCGAATATAAGTGGCCTACAAGTGACACAAGTGCCACTGCAGTGCTGCAGTGCCAGTGCAGTGCCACCCCCGAGACCTGCTTCTGCTCCACTTTTTGCTCGGCCAGCTTCACTTGAAGCTCCAACTCCTGGGGCACCAGCATCACGAGCTCTGCGGTTGATGCGGTGCAGGTTCGAAAAATCTCTCCTGAACTTGGACTTGCAGGGACTTCTTCTCAATGCGGAGCCTAAGCAAATCCGGGCAACAAAAAGCGGCAAAGCAAAGGCAAAAAGCAAAGGCAAGCGAGGCGGGGCCCTGTCTCCTCAAGCTCGTGGATCAGCAGCGAGTTTTCCTGCGTCTTGCGGCGCGTGTCGGCCTGGCCACAACCCCACAAAGTGGGACTTCATCCGGGTCGGCTGATTGCCTGAAGAGAACCTCTAGAACGCTTGTGACAAAAGAACGATGTATTGCAGAGAGGTCTCAAGGCTGTGTGGCTGTGTAACAATCACAAAAGATGAAGTGCTCAAGAAGACGAAGGACAGTTGTAAGCTCAGGCGAAGACGAACTACAGGAATTGGCAGGAACTGCAGACCTGCCCAGCTCTCTGCCTTGCAGGTGGCTTCGCCACGTTTGCTGCGGAGTGCGAGCATGGACGCCTTGCGCTCCATGACCTGATAGTAGGGAGAACTGCTTAAAGAGAGCTCCGAGTGTTTGGCGCGTTTGGACCCGGATGTGCTCATTGCGACTCAGAGCATTTGCTCTAAGCTTCTCAATCCTTCTCAATGCTTCTCGCTCTTTCGACTCTTTTTTTGCTGCTTGCATGCGGAAGGAGAACGGCTCTATACACATCCACTTTTCTGCACTTTTCATGCAAAAATATGCCTTGAAAGTGGGTACCCCCAAACGGTCATGCGCGTTGTACCTTTCGGCCATCACGCTGCCGCCCAGGTAGACAGGGAAAAACTGGCAGCGCCAGCTTTGCTCAGGAAACATCAGGAAACCATTCTGCTCATGAACTGCATCCTGCGTTTGAAGTTTGCACATTGTGGCACAAACGCTGAAAGAAAAACTTCAGAGGAAGTCGGATCCAATTCAGCTTCAAAGTTCTTAAAGCTCAAAGGCCAAGTCCGCTTCAAGAGGCTGAAGTGACAGGCTCTCCAACATGTTCGTGGCACGTCGCGACCGCGGCTGTGGCGCATCGTCCGGGTGGTGACTTATGCACACAACGCACCAAAGTCCAGCGATGAGGCTGTTCATGAGTTCATGGCTGGAAAGCAGCGTGCAAATGCCATTGATGCTGCACCAGCGCTCATCTGGAGTGACGATGGAATCACGAGAAGCGAAACATGGACCTGCGCCAATCGTTGAGATGCTGATGGACAGCAGGGGCTGTGTCTCTAAGTCAGGATCACTGGGCGGATCCACCGCCACTTTCAGCACCACATCATCGGATGTGGTCCAGCCCAGCTGAAGCATGTATCTCTGGGAGTTTAGGTGAAAGGAGATTGGTGTGCTCACACTCCCGTCCGTAAACTGGAAGCACCTGATCAAAGCACCGGTCGTCGCGAGCCCGTCGTTCCTGGCTAGTCTAGCCTTCTGCTCAGCCGCCAGTAGCTTCTTTTCAAGCTTCTGCGCGTCCGATAAAGACCCTAGAACTACCGGTGCCACGTGCTCGGGAAGAGAGGCGTCGTCTTCTCCGGAAGTTGCCATGGATGCCAGTTTACACAACAGCGCCTTTATGCCGCTCCGTTGTGGTCCGCACTCCGAGAGCACCATCAGGCAGCCTCCAGCTAAGCGCACGTGGGACATGCGCTGGAAGTACTTCACCCAATGATGCAAAGCCGTTAGCTCTGCAAGTATGCTGGCACTCACCATCTCCAGACGGGCAAGGTCTGGACCAGTGAGAACCGACAGCACGCTTGAAATAAGGACGTCATTGGCGACAACATTGCCCAAGAGGGTCATCCGCTACATGCTACGAAGTCGTGCAAAGTACTGTTCTGCTGGCCGGCAGACTGCTGATCGAGGCTGTGCTACTGGACGCAGAGCGGATGCGTATAGCATAGTGTCAGATGCTTGTCAAGAGGAAGCTTAAAACTATTGCCCGCCCATTAAATACATATTTAGCAACAGGAGGGTTTCCTGAGCGGCTGGTGGGCACCAGAGCACCCACCGCCACCTGTTTGCTGCAAAATTGCTGAGGAGTCGAGACAATGAACCCAACGCACGAAGGAGCTGTAAGGTTTTGCCCTTGAACTCGTATCTCTGTTAACCTGAGTGCTTCTTTCTTCGTGTCACACATACGTCACAAGTCTTTTCTTTCTTGAACAATTTTGCTGCCCGTCCTCGCCTGAATCTGCCGGCCCAGCTCCTGCATCGGAAGGCTGTGCTCCTCGTCCTGCAGCTGCGGCTACGACTCTTGTGGAGTCTAAGCGCCATCTAAGCACTAGAGTTGGTCGGGTCCTTCTTGAAAGTCTCAGGGTTCACGTGGTCACGCCAGAGCTTCTTGAGCCCAATGTGCCAGTTTCGTATGTCCTGAGAGCCGAAGATGGCGGAGTGCAGATTCTTCAGCTTCTTGACCGCTGCGGAGGTCGCAGAACTAGCAGCGCGATATTCGGGCTGGACGGCCTAAAACTGAAGCCGCCTTGGCGAATAAGCGGGAGCAGGCGGAGTACACGGAGTTAGCAAGCGGATGCTGCTGCTTGCTGCTGCTTGCTGCGTCTGTGTCATCCCTGACTGGTCTCCACGGACCGGTCTCGACCGGTCTCCACGGACCGGTCTGCACGTGTTCGGGAAAATCAAGAAGCATTCGAAGGGGAAAGAAGAGGAAAGGAGAGGAAGGAAGAGCAAAGAGCACAAACTCGTCTATCGAAAGAGCAGCCGGTGGACTCAAGACCTGATAGATTCCCACTGAAGTGCGTTGAATTATCGCATGGATTTTGGAGTGATCATTAAGCCTTTGCAGCCGCCCCAAACCACACATCAGCAAAGTCCGCTTCTCAGGCCTTGTGAAACCTGCACTCTCATGAGAACTGCCTACTGTAGGCCCTGAAGCTTCAAGGTTTTGCTTGAAGGACCCGCTGGCCCCAAGCAGACCCCAAGGCCTGGTCAGCAGCCAGCTCCAGCAGGTCTGCTGAATAGCGGAAGATGGTCCTCTCACGCCTGCAGAACCCGGGGGATTTTTTTACAGATGCTTTTGGCAGAAGTGCAAAACGAGGCGGAGCTTGGCTCAGATCAGCCCTGGGCTGTTTCAGGATCTCCTTCTGCTTCTCGGCCTGCAGCTCCCAGCATCGATGCTCGTCGCAACCCAGGTACCCTGTGCCACGTCCCTCCGTCCTCGGCAGTAAGCTGGGCCACCTGAGCAGATTTCGCTTCCAGCGCGCTCTCCTGGCACGGCAGGGTCTCCGTGGTCCATATCATGGGCTCTGGGGGGTTTTGTGGAGGCAGCGGCACCATCTGCTTCTGGATCTCCAGCTGACGCTCAAACTCCTCCTCCAGAGCCGAAAGCTGCCTGGCGCTCTTCCCGACAAGGACACTCACGGAGACACCCGAAAAAAACAGAGCGGGAGAGTGTCTCCCAAAGCGTATCACCCGAAGATTCTCGACAAGGGCTTCAAGGAATCTGGTGTCCAGGACCAGAGCAAAAAAGCAGCATGTCACTGCAACACACTGCGGCCATGAGGCAAGTGAAGCTGCGCGATCATGTCCTCTTTGGGCTTTAATGACTCCGTGACCTGGCAGAGGGCCCCAACAATCCACGACCCGCAAACAAAAAGCGGCGCGATGGCCGTCACAAGCTTCCCTCGGGCCCTCAGAACTCCCTGAGCTCATCCCCGGCAAACCCCTGACCTTTCACTTTACCATCTTAACCGTCTTAAGCGTCTGAACCGCCAAACTCCCCCACAACTATGGCGAACCTGATGGCGAACCTGCATTAGTTCGGGCATCGGCGGCTCGGCTCCCCACTGCGAAACTCGCAGAAAGTGCATTGCAAGTAAACCATAACCTGCGCGCCTCTCGCAAGCGATAGTCCAGCACATGCTTGAACTTCTTGAGCGTTTGCACCTAGCGAGAAGTAACAAGGGAAGCACTTGAAGCCTTGAAGCAGAAGATTCGCTTTTCTCAAAGTGCGAGAGGTGCCTTGAGTTTATGCGCCCCGATCTCCATCTCCTTGTCGCGCAGCGTCACCTCCCGCTCCTTCCGCTCGGCCTGGGACATGGCCCGAGAATATGGCATATCGCCCTCTCGTTCCGTCCGCCATTTCTCGATCCGCCTTCAGAAGCGTCACCTCCCGCTTCATCGTCTCAGCCTTTTTCAGAGGCTACACGGGTTCAAGGCGGCTAAAAATTCCACAGCCCCTCGCGCCTCTGTCCGCAGGTTGCTGATCGAGACCTCTTTGCCACAAAGTTTCCCCGCAGGTTTCGTTATGGGGCTTTAGTTTTGGTTCTTAGGGTTTGTGCTTTGCTAACTTTGCTATGCTTTCGCCTACACACCGTGCGCACTCAAGCGTCGGCCCTGGGACGCCCTGGGACGACGCTCTCGGTGTTTCCGCGGTGCACGCATCGCTCGCGCCACCGTGCAGAATTAGGCAGTAACATCGGACAGCACCCAAGAACATCGCACATCCTGCAGGTCTTGTTGCTTGCATAACCCCGTGTCGGCACTTTCTGGCATCGCGGACGCTTGGTTGGCTTCGCGCGTCTGTACTTGGATTTGTTCTAGAATGGTCTTAGGGTCTTCTTCGGCTATCATCTTTCCAATCGGCTCAGGGCAAGAGAAGGCCATTCGCTGGCTGTGCTGCCTGTCTTCGTCCAATTTCGCAACTTCGGCTGCGAGACTAGGGTAGTGGATGGACCCTTTTGAAGCAGAAGTGATGACTGAACATCTCGCAGGCTACACGTCAAAATGGCGGCGCAGATAATCCCAAGTCCATCCACAAGAAACACTCGGAGCTCGAGGTGTCGAGAACGCGGCGCTCGCTTCCCGCTGCTCCATGGCAATGCGGTCCCGATCCTGCCATCAACGGCAACCTACCCCTTCTGTAGCTTAAGAGGAGGACAGCAGAATCTGTCTTGGTTTTCTTCTCATTTACAAGGAACCCCTATTTCGGGAGATGGCCCCTTTGGCCCCTCTTTGGGCACAGCCTTCTCCATCATCTCCAGGCCTCTCCTTGGCCAAACTCCAATCCCAGGCCCTTCGTGCACTTGCCCTGTCAAAAGCCGAGGCGCATGAGCATGTCCTGGTCCTTCTTCAACTTGTATTCCACCAGATGTTGCTGCTCTAACTCCTGGCACACTTCAAGAGAGTCCCCAGGGCAAAGCTCCCAAAAAAAAGAAAAAACAAACACCAGCAACCTGCCTCCTGATTCTTCTTCTTGATTTCTGAGATCTCCAGCGACTGCTCCATTCCTTCTTGATCCAGCCTCAAAAGCCCCCGCCCCAGTGCTTGGGGTCTTGGTGAGAACGCTGAGCGCAGCTCATGGCATCGAATCGCTTCTGCGTGAAGGCGATGAGATCTTTCAGCTTGTGGATCTGCCAAGCCGATGAGCTGCGAATACAAAGAGTCGTGGTTGAGTCTATGCCAATGCCTCTGCGTCCTTCTCGTTCAGGCGGCGGTGCACTTCCTCTCTCTCTCAGAGAAGCGCCACACAAGCCCAATGAGTTCACGAAGAAGGTGCTGAAATCGTGATATCCGCACAGCCCCTACTCTCAACATACCTCAACGAACCCTAAACCCTCCCTCAACCCAGATTGTTGGCCCATTGTTGGCCGAAAACCCAGCACTTGGAATGCCGCCGAACATAAAACCTATAAACATACAAAGACATATACGTATACATATAAACCTACATATACACATACATGTACATATACATATACATCTACATATACATATACCTATACACATGTATGTATTCATGTATCTATGTATCTATTCGTGTATATATTTGCAATAACAATTCTATGTGTATCTTTTCATGTGCACAAATTTTCCTTTTTTGTTGCATTCTTCTATTAAAAGATGGCCCGCCGGATTGTCCTTCTCCTGCTTTTGCTCTTGAACTTCCAAGGACCGCTGGGCTTTCTGCCGGGCCTCTGCTGAGGTGAGACACTTGTGGCCGATTTCTTAGATCGTCCCTGGGAAAGCTCTACGAAGTTGAGAAAAAAGTGGAGCTTAGAGGTTTGAGGTTTTCGCGGGAGCCTGGAGGAGCAGACCCCGACCCGCCTGAGAACCCTGCAGAACACCGAGCAGCGTGCGCACACGACCCATCTACATAGAGGGCCTTTGTTCTGTCCGCCCTTGTAAACGTTCTCGCATTGTCAGACACCCCAAGAAGGCACCCAAATTTTGAGCAACTTGAAACCTCCCGTAAGAAACCACAATAAGGAACCCACACTCAGAGGTGGAAGAGGCACCCCCAGCCTGCTCGAAGCGCTCGGCATCTTCTGCCCTGGCTGCCTCCAGCGCGTCGTAGCTCTCTGCGTCCGCTCGCATCCGCTTGTCGTAGGCCTGCGAATGCTGCTGGAAGGAATTCCCAAGGATCCTCAATCCAGGCAAGCATGGGCCGCAAACTTGAACCCGAGGACCTCAAAACCTTCGCTCCAAAGCCCCATGTCCCTCTGCAAACCCCGAAGTTATCCGAAGATCTCCCCGACAACCTTGTAGGAACGCGCGGGCCTTCTCTTGGTCATCCGCAGCTTGTACATGCAAAGCCTCAATTTCACCGGAGACATCTGAGAGAAGTCTGAAGAGTGCTCGAGAAACCAAGGGCACACCTGCATGGCTTTCATCTTCCGCAGGCTGTCTCTTTCTTTCACGGTCGATGCCTGCTCACGGCGGCTCCCAGCTCAGGGCTATTCAGCAAGGAGGGCCTATACGGCACCCGATGGCACCCTAGAACACCATGCGCCTGCTGCAAAGTTTCGTAGCTGTTTCCTTGGCACATCTACGCACTTGGGATGGCACACAGCTTTAGCAGTTCCACAGGAGCGTGCGCAGCGAGTGGATCTTCTCCTGATCCTGCCTTCGGGCCTGGAGCCAGGAGCTATTAAGCAAAGGCAGATCGCTGCAAGAGCCGGGGCACCTCCTCGACTCTGGCTCGACACTCGCCTGAGATTTCCCCCCAAGCCAATGGACCACACTGGCCCCACACGGGCGTGATGATGCTGCCGAATGCTGCCATGTTGCTCTGGAGTCGGGCGGCATCCTCTTCTATCTGGGCCTTCAGCCTCGACCCAGGATTGATCATGAGACTGAGCATTGGCGTGGCGAAGTTCCAGGATCCGGCGTCGAGATTTGCGTCGTCAGGTCTTGTATCTCATCCTGGCGCGTGCAGGATTGCATATCCGCTTGGCGCAGGTTGTTGCAGCTGCCTGTCGCAGCTGAATGTCCCCACGATTGATCATGACCACCTGGCACAGGCAAGGTCCCATTGCCAGTACTGTACGTGCTGTCACTCCTGTTGTTCGCTTTACTTTCCTGCCTCTTCACTCCCTCCCACACCCACTCCATGCTCCCGCGCCTCCATCGAGCCTTCACGAGACTTTGCATCAGGCCGAGTAGTGTCCGAGATGCCGTCGGCCTCGTGAACTTCAAGGGCTCACGAAAAGCTTCCTCTACGACTCAAGGAGCCCCCTCTCGGCTTCTATGGTAGGGGTGATGCGGCCAGCACGAACATGGCACCATCCCTGCCAGCTGTGGCCACCTTGGCTCGAAACAGCGGCAAACTACTGGGCAACCGCACAGGGCCGCACAGGGTCCAAAATGGTCCAAAGCTCTTGGCATCTCACCGTATGTCCGTCGGCAGAGATGCACACTGCCGTTATGGCGTCGGAATGCAAGCCCAACGTGGCGCTCCTCTGGTGACTCTGGCGGAGGGACAATTTTTTCCCCGACTGTTGACTTCCACCTACCGAAGCGTCCTGTCCTTTTGCAATATCTTGCGGGGGTTCAAGGTCTTTCAAGATCTATCAGTGCATATAGGAGAGTTCGCGTTCTCTCTCCTTTGTCTAGCCCACCTGGGATGCACATGCAAGTGTGCCTGCCACGCAAGGACGCCTTGTTTGGCGCGTTTCTGAGCAAGCCAAAGCATGAAAAGACGCATGCGTACCAAGACTCAAGATGCGGCTGTACGGTTCTCAGTTTTGGTTTCATTTGATAGGTCAGCTCTGGGCTTCTGCAGGGTCTCATGGTTCACTGTTAGACCCTCGGTGTGTCTGGCGCTTGTGCTTGCAGGAACAAGGCCGACAAGCTCCGCCGCAGTGCCAACTCAGAACGCTTCAGCTGAAAAAAAAGCAGTTCAACAAGAAAACTCACAAGCAGAGCTGTCATTGTCATGAGAGTCCTGAAGGACCCAGTGAGGCCGCAGAAGGCCCGAAGGTTGCCGCTGCGGTCGCCCGCGAGGATGGACACCTCTGACTTGGTTTTTTAGAGGCGCCTGTTTTTCTTAGAGGAGTTTTCCGACTGATGTGAGAAGAAAGCGCTCAGAGGAGGCTCAGAAGCTCAAAGACACCTCCGAGGGTCTGCTGTAGAGCTGCATGGAGAAGAGGTGCTCCGACACGTGCATCGCGAAATCCTCCAGCCAGATGCTGAAGAAGTAGTCTTCCGCGTCTTCAGAGTCGTTCTCTGGATAAACACCGTTAACCTTCACTCGCGTCCGCCTCGCTCTCATGATGCACTCCCTGGTGGAAGGTCCGGAAGGAGCTCTTGTCGCCCTCGGCCTGCGCCAACGTGTCATGCCCTGACACTAGTGGGACCAAGATGTCTCAGGCTGAGGACGCCGCCACGCCGGCCCAGACCAGCCCCTCTCCAGCAGTTGCCACCGCCATAGCTTCTCCATGGGCACCATACTCGTTCAACTCAGCAGCAGCGGCGGCAAAAGCGGCAAAACACACATGGTGCGGTACAAGCTTGCTGAGAAGGGTGGCCGAAACCTGGGGCCCGTGCAGCACTCCAGTTCTCCGTGCTCCACTCGCAAACCTTTCCATCTTCACCTGCATTCAGCTCCCAGCTGCTGTTACTGCACCAGCACAGAAACACACAAAACAACAAGCTCTCAAGACGGTTGATGTCTGCACTCTGAAGGGGGCCTAGAGTCACCAAGGTTCGGTCGAGGGGGTCAAAAGCCATGGAGGCCACCTGCAGCAAAAGGAGCACAGAGGAATACAGGAGAACTTCGAACCTCCGGCAAAATCGGGGGCCTCCCTGGGATGTCCACGCAAGGTCGCGATCTTCTTCAGGCTCCGCGTGCTGAAGACCATGATCAGCTTCGACTGGCAGGGTGTCAACACACCCAGGAAGACGAAGAGCCCCACGTGGAACTGGAGATCTTATGCGCATGGCACAGGCAGGCGTGCCATTGCCAAAGGCAAGCTGACGGGGGGGATCGATTTTCCAACGCCAAGCATCCTTCTCTCGCATACACATAAGAATGTCGGCAAGCTAAGAGACGAAGCATGTTTTAGTGTGTTAGTAGCGGCTTTTTCCGCCACCTTTACCTTTTGACTTGCCGCCGCCCTTAGACTTTCCGTCTTTGGACTTTCCGTCCTTGCCTTTTGATTTGCCTCCCTTTCCCTTGCCACCTTTGTCGCCTTTGCCCTTGTCTTTCCTGGCTCTCTTGGCCTCCTCCTCTTCAAGGTCGAACAGGAGGTCTTTCTTGTCATCCGACGTGTCCCAATTGGGGTCTTTGGCTGCAAACTGCTTGTACAGCTCGCCCTCCATGTGAAGCCGCATCTTCTCGGCGGTAGGTGTGGCGATCTTGGTGAGGGGGCAATAGAACTTCATCTCTCCCCACTCCTCCTCCTTCGGGCGGGAGCGTTTCTTCACAGCCACCACTGGCGGAGGCATCGGCGCCGGGGGAACCACCGGCGCAGGACGCGCCACTCGGGTCGGAAGCCGTGGATCCAGGACGTCGATCGCAGCATGCGATATCGGAGGCTGGTCCTCCAATACTTGGAACCTCATGCAGTTCGCAAAGTGCGGAACGTCATCAAAGGAAATCATAAACACCTCCATCGGCACTGAGAGCAGCGACTCCGGATCGGGCGCCGGCGCCTCTCTCACTAAATCAAAGCTGGAAGGCGCCTCCCCCTCATGGGGCCCATACATCTCCTTCAGCCGCGCTTTCCGAGCGACGGCCTCATGAAGAAGTTGGGCCTTCAGGGATGCGGTGTCTGCAGGAGCCTCCACTCCCTGGACAGAACTCCGCTCCCTGAGCCCGACAAGTTCCAGGTCGGGGTGGAGCTGCAAAGCCACAGAAAGGGGCACCTTGATGGGTGCTGTGTCAACGGTGAAGCGAAGCATCTGCATCCCTTGCAGCCATTCCGGCAGCTCACTCTGCACCGTCCCAAAGATCACGGGATTTATGCTCTCGGCCTTCAGCGTGTCTATGCTGTACTTTGCTTCTGGCTGCTGCTTGCAACCAAGGAATCTCAACAGAGGAACGAGCTCGATACCCGCAGCGCCACAAGGAGAGCTCATAAGGGACGTCTCCTCCGGCCAAACGATGTGGAGATCACTCTCGCCCTTCAGCAGGACTTTTGTCGATCGCAGCAAATGAAAAACGAAGTGATGGAGTCTATACGCATACAGCGGTCTGTCTGAGGTGCCAAGTTCCTTGGGCACCAAGAAGCTTAGACCAGGAAGGATGAAAATCAGCTCATCGAAGCCAGCTGCTGGATACGCTTTCCCAAGAAACAAGGGATTCTGCATGTGCTTCACCCTGCCTTTCAGAACAGGGGGAAATGGATTGGCTTCTTTGGAGGTAATGTTCTGAGTTGACAGCGCCGAGCATGCCGTAAATTCCACATCTGGATAGGCTTCTTGCAGCGCCGCGGTGTAGACAAATGTCTCGTCGCCCACGACGAGGGCTTTCTTAGAGCTCGCAGGCGGTGCGGCTTCTGTCGTGTCTTCTGCCATTTTTCCCGGCCCCTTGGCCGCTTGACCCAAACTGCGAAGGCAAGGGCCCTATCGGAATTTACCCACACTTGCAAACAAGAACACCCAACCGCACTGCACACCTCACAAGTTGATACAAGCATGGCTCCACCCTGCTCCCCCGTACGCCATGATCCAACGCAATCAGACCATCGGCACATCGGCCCATCAGCCTGCGCCGCGGCAAGCAAATGGCCTCCGTTTGAGAAGCGAAGCAGGTGGACATTCCTCGAATGCCGTCAGGATCCAACATATCTTGGCGAAAGAATTCTCAACATCTCTCAGCTTTTCAAGCTCGGACATCTCAGTGGCTGGCTTTACGTGGAGCTCCGAGAAGAGCTTGAGGCTGGCAGACAACTTTCCCATCTTTGCATCATACAAATTGGCTCAAAGCTACCCGCCAGGCCCACTCTTTTGCCAGGATCTCCAAGAAGCGAATCCTGGCACTCCACAAAACTCTCCCAGACACACAGCCTGGGACATTGCCGGTCCTGTCGCTGAAGCTCACTGCCACAAAGAAGCCGAAGGGGTGCAGCGCAAGTCCTTTCCGCAGCTCCAAAACGAGAGAACTGTGACAATTTGCAACCGCTGCACCTGCAGCCGTGGGATCCCACACCGTGGGGGGGGCTGTATCGCACCGGTCGCACCCGTTCCCATCACGCCCACACCTGAACCCGATAGTAACCCTCCCCCCAACAAGCTCCGCCAGGCCTATTGAGACTTGTAGGGGGCGGGGGGGGGGGGGAAGGCTCTCCTGCTATTGAAGGAGGCCACTTGTAGGCTTTGTGCCCAATGCCCCGACCATGGGTCCAAGATCAATTGAAGCCCGTGATTTTTGGTTCGGAATTTGGTCACCATCTCAACCTTCCTGGGGCAAACCAGCAATGAGCATCGCTAAACCTTGCCCGAACAGAAACGACCTATCACGACAATCAACACGCGCCCGAAGACATAAGGGAAACTCCGGGCCCATGCGCTGGCCTGTCGGTTCCTCCGGTGCTTGCCAGCCTTGACCCCAAACCGGCGGTTCTTGAGGGGTCCAGAAAGCGTTGTGAGGATTACGACGTTTGTGCCACAGCAAAGAATGCAAAGAATCATACCTTCCTGCATTGCAACCTCCGGAGCAAGCTCCAAGCCGGAAAGCCCTTTGCCCATCATTCATCTCATTCTATTTGGTTTCATGTCGATGCGCCATCATCCGATGTCGTTGTGAGCTTGAGTCTTCAGGGTTGGCTGTAGGCCCTGTAGGCCTGTCGCCGCTCTCTCGACACTCGATCTCCGCATCTCACGGCTGGGGCTCGTGCACAGCTCACATCTTCCGGCTTCATAGTCCCACACCTCGAAACGCGAGACCCACCTCTTTCTGGAACCTTCCATGGGCGCTCTATACTTCGAGCCACAACCTGTCGCCCCCCGCGAACCCTCCGACAAGAAGAGGGTTCACCAAGGGTGAAGCCCGGAGTGAAGCATCCTGACCTCAGCTGAAGTGGCAGGGCTCGAGCTGAAGTCTCTTAAAGCAAGGTTTTAGAGCCTGAAACAACTCTTTTTTTAACCGAAAGCTGGAGAGCAATCTCCCGCTTCTGCGTGGCAACAAGGGCAACAAGGGCAACAATGACCACTGAAGGGCCCCGTAATGTTTGGAAAGACATGGGTTGAATGTAGGACGAAACAGAAAGCCGGAACCTGCGATCCAGCCACCCCTGCGGCGCGGTGTTGGCAGGACATCCCGATCAATAAAAACGCTGTCATCGCTAGATGGAGAGTGCAGGGAGGGAACCCGAAAATCTGGGGTACCGGCTGCAGACTGTCACCAGAATGGGCCGCTGCAAAGCCATGTCCATGCAGGTCACCGGGCCTGCACCGTCTATCTCGTTCCGTCAGAACACAAGATCATGGCACCACTTGCCGTACTTGCCGTTGGCACACCCTTTCGTGCGGGCGTAAGTGCGGAGTTTTGCCCAATTTGTTGTAGCAGCCTTAGCCCTGACAATCATTGCCTCGAAGGCAACAGTGAAGCAATCGTGACGAAAGTAAGGACCTAAATGGGACTAGTCACACCCACACCCCTCCACAGCCTGGGTGAAAGCCACCACCGAGTAGTGGGGTTTCTGCCTCGAGTCACAGGAGGTCAGAATCTTGCTTTCTGCACTGCGCACCTCTAAGTCGGGCACAAGGCGCCCATTGCATTCCATGAGAGCTCCCAGTCGAAAATGTGTGATGTCAGAGCTGTCAAAGCACACGGCGCAGTGCACCTGCACCCATCTGCTTCTACTGGCCAGCTTGGCCCTTACCCGACGGCGAGCGCTTGCTGCCGAATGGCGTTGCCTCGTCTCGCCCGCCGACAAGGTCGAGGGAAGCAACAGCAAAGCCTTTGCCCGCATCAATGGTCGCGGTACATTCCTGAGAATCAACACACATGAAAGCACCAGAGTGCTTGTCAGCACACAAGCGTGGGCCCTGTCTTCTGTCTTCCGTTTCGTTGAGGCAAGCGCGTGTGCATACTTTGGAATGGCGAACATATCGATCGGATTGCCATCGCCCTGATGCGAATTGGCGAATACCAGAAGACATGCTCCGCTCTGCTGGTTGACCGTTAACTGCTCGCCTCATTCTCTTCCTGCTCAAGTTTCCACACCGCAACTTGGCTTTTGGCTCCGGCTACAACGAAGCCATTGATGAAAGGCCTGCACCAAGATCATGCTGACACTCTGTTCGCCTAACTGCAAGCTTTGCCCGAAACCAAAAACGCGCCTGATGCCGAAGATTTGCTGTTCGCTCACTTTGTGTCCGAATGGGGCAGCAATTTGGCACACAAAGTACGGCACCTCTCCCAAGAAAACCGTTTGCAAGACACTTGAATGAAGCTCGTGACAAACTGACATCCACGGCACCGGGTCCACGTCTAGATGCTGGGCACGGTTCTCTGCCTCCTGGCAGTCTGTCTCTTGCTTATAGCCGGCAAGCGCCAACAAATTCATTGTGCAGAGCCAAGCCTCCATTCCCAAGCCACTTGCCACGATGAAGACAACTCCCTGGGCTTCGCAGGCTGATCCAAAGTTGACAAAAGCTCACCCAATGCCACCTCTTCGGAAGCAAGTGCCAGCCTGCCGTTCCTCGCCATCAGGCAATGCAGCTGTGCAACAAGGGTGCTCTGTAGACCCCCAAGCCCCCAAAACATCACGTTTTGACTGCGAGGGGCGCTGGCACAAGCCACGCGTGGTCGGCAAGCGTCATTGCAAACTCCGCGAGTTCCTTGTCGACAAGCAAACACACAAACACCAAATACATCGCAGCGGTCAAGAATCCTCATGCTTCTTGTCAAGAAAGCGGATGCCAGGGACATTGCATCACTTTGTGACAATTCTGAGATTCTGGTTTGGCTTGGCGCAAGTGCAATGGCTTTTGTGTGCCTCCCTGCACCGCTGCAAAGTCATATGGCCTGTACGTCGGTTAGGTTGGTGAACGAACTCACTTGCACAATGTGATCACACATTTTGCTTCTGTCAACTTTGTGTGTCACCCAGGCGAGCACCGAGAACCGTGACATGGCGCTGATGCAGTGGAGCTCTGGTTCAGTGACTCCGTTCGTGTCATCATGTGTGACAGGCGTTCGAGCCCGGGCCATGGCCTTTTTGTGAGGATGCCTCTGAACAATGGATAAACACAGTGCAAGGTTAGCTTTTTGAAGGTGAGTGCTGTTGGCCGTTGAGTTCCTGTTCGGTGAGTTGCTCGGCTTCCAGAATCTCCAGATTCTGGTTCAGACAAAAGTCGTGACTGCGATGCGCGACACGGACATGTGCAACAGGAGGGCTGCAGCGATCTGCATAAGGGCAGTGGCCATCCGATCGAGGACGAGACACCCCGGACGGAGACTCTTCCACACAATCGTTTTTCAAGAGACGATGGAGACGAAGAAGACGGCTGTATCAGACCCTTGCCGCAAGTGTGTTTTATGGATGCTTCCCTCCAATTTTCGCCCATGTTGCCGCACGAGACTTGGGATGAAAACTGAGAGGAGGTATAGTGAGTATAGTGTAGTAACCTTCTTGCATGCCTTGTCACGTGGGAACACTGCACAAGTTATCACATAGTGGAAGGCCATGGGCCAAAGGCAACATCTCGCAACATCCATCGCGGGGCCCTTCAGCAGCTGGCGCCGCATTAGGCTCTTCAACATGTGGCACTGCCAAGCGGTCATTCTGCATCCAGGTCTCATCTATTTGTTGAAGCTTGAACATCTCCTGAGTGCTGTCAGCAACGAACCGATGGAGCACAGCTCGGTTGCAGCTCTCTGCGCGTTGCAGTGCAGGCTGAGACAGTCAAAAAAAGAGCAGAGTAGCTGTCACGAGAAAGCCCACACGCGCACTACGGCACTTGCCAGAAATGCTACCGAGAATTGAGGCCTTTGAGAGCTGCCGCCTGGGCTCTTTGGATTCCAGCCGCTCCTCACCCTCCTCCTCTATTGGAAGGTCCCTGCAAGAACAACAGATACAATGATACCGTTGTAAGCATGCCAGCAGCCAAAGCGGTTGCGACCTCATCAGGAAAATCTCGAACGAGCTGACGCTGGAGCCGGACATCATATCCGAGTCCAGCGGGTTGAAGTCTATCCTCAGCACGTCGCAGCGGCTTTGAAAAAACAAGAAGAAAACAAAAAAAAAAAAGGAGCAAAAAAACACACACAAGGACGAGAAGCCTTGACAACTCGTCCTGCAGCATGAAGCGGCTGATGATCTCGTTGAGCCTCCAGTCCAACACAATGATCTGGGCATGGAGGCCCATCGAAGCCACCGCCAGCCTCAGACGCTGCCAAGCACGCGAACCCACATCAACAGCCACTAGATCCGCGGCCTTGTTGAATACACACACACACACACACATGCGAATGTACACATATATATATATATATGTTTTACATATATACATGCGTAGACATATATAAACATATACACAGGTGTATATTCGGTAGATTCCAGGTGTATGCACATAAACGCATACACAAATATGTATATATGTACACAGGCATGCATACATATAATGGAATGGACTGTGACAAAATGAAGCCAATCCATGTGCATTGGGAAAGCGATACCCTAGGATCAAAAAGGGCTTGTAAACATACTGGCAAAGAAAGCGGCTTAAACTGTCACAAAGGCCCGAAGGGCTCCAGCCTTATACAACATCATGACATACTTTCAGAAAAATTACATAATAGAGTAAGGGACATCCAAGTGATGGGGGGGGGTTGCTTCTGTGTTCGACCGGCCTCGAGGATTCATCCTCGGGAACTCCGCTGGCCTGACTGGCGGAGGAAAACGCCACGGCGGTGATTTGCCCGACGGGGCCGTCCCGGCCATTCAGTTCCTGCGTGGAGGCTTGGAAGCTTACAAGGAAACGTCGTGGTCCCCATGGTTGCCCGCAATGGTAGAGTCGGAATGCACAGGTCTTCGCTCCAGCCCCGATGCAACTCTCAGTGGTAGCAACAAACAATGCAACTGGTGCGCACCTGCAAGGTCTGCACCGGCCGGTTGCTGGCCACTGGTCCCAGTTCATAAATCGAGACCTGGGACCTGTTTGGTCTGCAAACCTGGCACACCGCCAGGAAGGCGCGGCTCCGCGAGGCAGCGCAGGCAGTGATCGCCTTCTGAGACACGTTTTGTGCACTCTGCATAGTACGGCAACCGGTGGGTGCTACTCCCTTTCGTGAACATTCTGCGCAGCACTGTACTGCATTCTGTGACCCTTTCTGGGAGGCCTCCACATCACAGCTCTCTGCCGCAAAGCTGACCTGAGCGAGAGAAGCACCACACCTGACACGTGAGAGCAGGAAATGCATACAGCACAGTGGCCTCGTCTCCAAGGAGGTGCCGGAAAGCCAGTTGTCGCCCAACCGCTTGAGTCAAGTACTGCCCGGCGATGTCACCTTAGCTGTGAGAAAGAGCTTGTTTTCTAGGACCGCTTGGGCCATCTTCGGGGTTTCATACTCCGCAAGAAACTTCCGGCCAAGAGAGAACAGAAATGAACAGAAGGGGAGGCCGAGACACCGAAGAGCACTGCATCCCGCAGATTCCTCCCGTGCGAGCCAAAGCCGTGGAGAACCTCCAGTGAGACACCGGCGGTCGCCCGCTCCACTGCCGAGCTGGGATCCACGGAAGGCCGGCGCGCACGCTCCGCACGCTGCATCGTAAACCATCACCGCTACCAGCGGGTTCAAGCGGGGCTTCGGGGGGGCCTACAGTAAGAATTGACCTACGCATGCAAAGGGGTTCAAGCTGCTTGGAGCTCGTGACCCAGATGCAGGGAGCACCGTGTCGCCTGTTTGAAGTCTTCAGCGCTTTGCTGCTGATCTTCCGTGCAAAGGTGGCAAAATACATATCAGATGATTGAATCGGCTGGCCTGCAGGGTATGAATTCTATACTTCGGTTTTCAGGAGCCAAAAAGAGAAAGTGCGAGACGCTGCCTGGGAAACCCACCCCATCACTGTAGGATGCGTGAACATCTTGCCCAACACCTAGAAGTCTGGCATTCGAGCGCAGACCCTTGCAGGATTGAGGAATACCGTCTAGCAGCCTTCAATCCAAGAAAACCCCAGGTCAACAATGAACACATCAATGACTGAACATCCTCACCCAAAACCTCGCAATCTTAATGGTGTATTGGGACAGATTTGAACAAACAAGCATCTACTGTGAATTCCACATATGTCCACTACCCGAGATCCCCTGTGTGATCTTGGAAGATGTGAGATACATCGGAAAATCTGACACACCCAGGAAGAGGTTGTGAGGTGCAGTTCGATAGTGCTACCTTTCAACGTGACTCCAAGATGTTGCGTAGAGTCCCGGATTGTGAAGTGCAATGCTGTTGGGATATCGTTTCTCTCCCGCCACTGAGCAGCTCCGGTTCCTATGCTAGACTTGGAAGCTGCTATCAGCACTCTCACGGCAGCCTGGCCAGCCAGGTAACAGCAGCATCTGGAAGTCTAAAGGCACCATGGCTGCCACTTGCCCACTGCCATTGTACATCAGATCCGTTGGGATTCAAACCAATCTCCAGAGAACGAGCACATGCTGCGCACTCAGGCCTCTCGCTCAGTCCTGGAAGTCGAACCTGCATTTCAGCACTGTTCATGGACATTTGCCTAAGGAACTTGTGGCTTTCGACATACAAGAAAACAGGAGTAATTATCCCACTACCTTCCGCTGCATGTACACTGCCGCCGTACAAAAGCCAGGCGAGGTACCCCAAGGGCCAGCGGCTAAATACCAAAGCCGCAGGCGCTGTGTGATCTGGACTGCACAACCACCAAACATCCCAAAGCACTAGTGTTAAACGATGTTCAGAATGAACGTGGATGCACTGCAACGATCGGCTCGCACTGTGCATCACCTGCTACGTGTGATGTGCATCAAGAAACCGCCCAATGGCCGCATTGACCCGAAAAACACGACAGGAATTGAAGCTGAAGAGCATGGAGCACTTCATGACCAGAGTTTTCAGCTGAGGGCTGTGCCGGAGCACCAACTGCCAGCAAGTCAGCGGCAGAAGCTGCGGGCGGGCCCTCCCCCTGAGCAAGAAAGGAAAAAGCAGATCAAGGAACTCCGAGAGAAAGCCCCACGCTGAGCTCTTTCCAGGGCTCTTGAACTAACCGCACAAATCCTGGAAAAAACTTAAAACTGGTGATGGCCATGATGGCCGCTCTTCTTGTTTCAGAAAGCGCTTCTTGAATTCAGGCTGAGGTCCAGCCTTGCAGAACTCCACTCACGTCACAGAGTACATCCAACTGTAGAGAAGGCTCAGCCGAGCATCAGGTTCCAAGAAAAGAACAGGAGGCTCTGGCACCCGACCCGGCGCGAAGCCTAGCTTCACCGGCCAAGGTGCCCAACGGGGTGGCAAGCTGCCGGCCGGCCGCATTTGCCACTCTTCGCCTCATGCTTCGGGCGGTGGCCCCGGACTCAAGGCTCTCGAGAGGCTCTCGATATCCCAAGCTCAGGAGGAGGCTGTACACGTCCAAAGAGATGGTGGCCTGCCATGTGTGCGCTGAGGCCCTGCTCCAAAGCAAAAGCCAATCGCACTTCGCGGTCCTTGTAGGCCTTGGGGTCTATTCTCTTCATGATGCCTTTCAGCTGGTTCAGCCTCGGAAGCGCTGATCTATCGTTGCGTGCTGCTCAGCACCATCGTATTGAGGCTGGTGCGGCCCACACTCGTAGAACTCCCCGAGGCCATCCTGTGCGTTCTGATGCTCACTCCGAACCCTCCCCAAACCCTCCGAACTCTCCGAACCCTCTGGGAGGCCTTGAGCATGGCAGACACAGAGTCCATCCAATTTGCAGGGTGAGTAAGCCTGGGAAGTACAGATGAAGCACAGCAGAATGCGCAGGGGAATTGCGCTTGCTGCTCAAGTAGCTGATCCGCGAGAAGAGTGGCCCAATCAGGAGAGCTGCCGGCTTTAACCTGACATGAAGTAGAATTTGGTACAGTTTTCGTACAAGCAGCCATGAACTGATGAAATGGCATCAAAAGTTGCAGCTGGGGCTCCCCGCCTTCGATCCACAGCTTAGGTAGACATCCAGCCTCTCAGAGGCTCAGAAATCTTCAGAGACACGGAAAGTCTTCAAAAAAAAACAGCTCTCGAATCGCCTGGGAGGCCTCAGGCTCTCTGCCAAGCTTTGCAGAAACTCAAACCTCTCAGAGGCATTGGCTCTGCACTCTCCGCCCTCTGAAATTGCTCTGAGATTGCTCTTATATGATCACCTACTCCGCCGTTCTGAATCACTGAGCATCTGGCAGTTGCGTCCTGGCCTCCTGCATCATTGGCGTGTGGCAAGCCCCAGCCTTTGCGGAAGGAAGGTGGAGGCGACTCTGCGTGAATGCACCTTGAAACTGGGTGTCCGACCAGCTTCACTTGCTGGACCTACTGTAGCCCAGAGGTCCCAACAAATAAAACTTCGCCGGCAACTCAGCGAGCCTGCTTGCAGCCCTTGGTGCTGCGTGCCCGCTGGAGCAAGCGCTCGACAGCAGCTTCGGAGCCAGCACAAAGAAAGCCTGTCTCACAGATTAGCGAAGCATCTTTCAAGTCGTGTTAAGCTTTCTGGCAAGCCCGCCATCAGCGAAAAGCCGCTGGGAAATGTCGCAAACCTCTCCAGACCTGAGCATTCGTCATAAACACTCGCCCCCAGTTGACAGCACAAGTGCTGCCAGGCAACTCCCGGCATTCGCTACAGAGGCTTTCCACTGTCTCCTGAGGAGAAACTTGCCCAAACTGGATTGGGTTTTGGTAGGAAGCTTGAGAGAGTGTCCTGGCTAAGGCCCGCCACAGCTAGGGCTGTTTGGGGAATGTCCAGCATCGCCGCCTCCAGGCTTTCTTCGGGAATGCCCACAAAGCGCTTCACAAGCAAGAGCCGAATTAACGAAAGAGATCTGCTAGCTGGCAGCTCGCGAGCTGGTGTGCCCTCGCAGAAAGCACCTCCATGAGCTCCCCTCTCAGTTGCACTGCCCGCAGCCCTGTCTCGAAGTCCCACACGCCAGCAAAGGTCAGCGCGGCCTCCCCAGAGAGCAGCCAAAAGCAGGGCCAGCAAGGGTGCGAAGTGTGTACCTGCGTCCCTGCATCAAGGTCAAATCGAAGCCAAGGCACGAAGTCTCCGAGCGAAAGCCCGGCAACTGCCTTGCAGCGCTCCAAGGCAGCCGGCCTCTTGTCCTCCCGAGCATTGCGAGTTCATTGCTGAAGGACACAGCCGGAACAAACCTGCATCCTGGGAAGGAGACAACACTGGTGCGCCAAAAAGGGGTCCCGAAGCTTCTCCACGGCTGCTAGCTGAGTGACGTACATGACGGGCTGGCCTTAAGCTCAGGCCCATGGCTGAGGCACAGAACACCGGACAACTATGGGGCAAACTGCCTGAGTACAAGGCAGTACTGGGTGTGCTCCAGCCAGCCTCCGAGACTGAAGCTCTCTTCTGTGCTTTCTGAGTCTGAAGCAGATGTCTGCGGAAGCCTTCCGGGCCACGGAGGAGCTCGTAGAAGCCCTGGAAGCCTGGCCCCTCCAGAGGGTCGAAGTCCAGGAGCGCGCGCGCCGTCTCCCGGAGACGCCGGGCTCCAGGAAACTCCTACCAAGTTCGAGTCTCAAAGATCTCTTTTTCGCTCTCTCATGCAAGGCAAGGCAGGGCCCATAGTGCGCCTGGAGGCCTCTCAACATCTTCAAGCTCTTGGAGTTCTGGTCCGGGAACAGCAAAGCCATCGGACAGGTGGCCTCACACGCCGGGGGTGTTCGGAGGGTCTTGCGAGGGCTTTTTCGGGGTTTTGGGGCGCATTCTTTGGGAGTCTGTACTACATGGTATCACTCTTTCTTCCTTTCGGCGGGGAAGTGGCGGGGGTGCCTGGGCCCTGGTCTTGAAGTTGATCTTGACACCCATGCCGGCCGCAGCAATCTCGGCGGCAGCCTTCCCCAGAGCCATGTCGGCATCCTCCGGAAGCTCCGGATCCGCCAGTTCCCGAGATCTGGCTTTGCGCTGGGCATTTGCTGCGACAAAAGCTGGGGCTTGCTGAATCGCTTCCATGGCGAACTCGGTGTACGCCTCTCGCTCTTTCAGCTTTTGCCTGCGTTCCGGAAGGCTGAGCTTCGCGAGCTCCCGCGCCTGCTGCTCGAGCTTCAGCCGACGGGCTTCCTGCTCCACTTGCCTTTGCTCCGCCTCTGCCTGCTGTTCAGCCAGAAGCTTCATTGCTGCCTCTTTCTGCTCCTGAACCTCCCTAGCTGCCTCTTGCACCAAGGAAACAAAGGTGACATCATTCCAGGGGTCCAGCGGTACCTCCTCCGACAGCACTGTCTCGTCCACTACCGCTTTCGTTTTCACGCGGGGATAATCAACATCGGCAGGGTCACCAAACGGATCCCACCCAGCTTCCATTGCGCGTCTTGTGTGTATGTATGCGAGTGGGAAACTAGCGAGTTGCTGACAAACGGTTCAGATAATTTAGATCTTATGTCCAGACTTATGTCCAGCTGTCTCTCTCCAGATCTTTGTTCCCACGTTCTACATCCTAAGCAGATTCATGACTAGCATGCAATTACGGGCACAGTCTTGTTGGCGAGGCTCCATGAAGTGCGAAAGATCCAACTTCTTGATCCCGAGTGGCCGACATATCTGTCACGATGAGAATGAGGACCCTGGATCCCTGAAGGCCGACTAATGGCCGAGAATGATAGAGGTTTTCCCATGGAGTACAAAAGTGGAAGAGGGGCCAGAGCGCAAGTCACAAGACACAAAAGTAACGAGTGCACCGGCAGAGGATTTTCGGTCGCAAAGTCAGCCGAAATGGTCACGGAACCATTTTTGCAGTATCCGCTTGTGACCAAGCTTGGTCACCCCGGCCGCCAAGAAGAATTGCGGGTCCAGGCAACCATCGTGGAAGTAAACATCGTGGATCTGCTTCAAGGAGTCGAAATTTGCAACGATCTGGTCGTAATACTGAAGCAGAAATCCAGAATCATCAACGGACTCCAACCAATCCTGTATCGGTTGCAATAGCAGTGGGTTAACCTCTTGCACCTCTGTGTGAGCGACGTGAGCGTCGGTGCCATCGGACCTACCAATGCCGCCATCACTTCCACAATGAGAATTGGGGAGGTTCCCGAGGTTGTCACTCTCAGTCCCTTGGGTTCCAGAGCTCCCAAGCGGCCCAAACGTCGGCGAGGGCCATTTGCCGCATTTGTGGCCCGAGGCCTCCAGGCAGCTGGCATACGGCAGCTCACGGCTCCCTGGCACGGGTCTATCTTGGGCCAAGAGCTCGCAGATCCATGATGGCAGCTTCCGTGCCTCAAAGCTTGCTGGCTTTGGATCACAGGGCTTCCCGCGCGTGAGCTTCCAGGACGTGCAGTAGATGCCATGGCTCGAGTAATGTTGCTTGACATACTGGGAGAAGTTCGACCAATCGGCCACCCGCACCTGGTCCTGCTCCGAGCGACGCCGCATCTGGTCCGTCTGCCATGCCAAGCGGCGCAATTCCTCCGGGGCCTCAGGAGCCTCAGGCAAGGACGACCGGCAGGGAAAGCGGGCCGGGTAGCGATTCGGGAGCCTCCCTTGTTTCTCGGCTTCACTCTCACTCTCCAGGTGAAGACAGTACGACGCCCAGTTTGCCGGCGGCGTGCAGAAGCTTATGATATCTCCGTGTCTTAAGCCCCTGGGTCGGCCAACATCAAGGGTCTCACACGACTCACCGCGCTGCAAGTGCACCTGCCATCTAGGGGTCAGGGCTTCCAAGCTCCAGCCACCGTGTCCACCGTGTGCTCTGGCGAGGCGACACAATCGTTCGGGAAACTGCGAATCCAGTTTCACATGGCTGTCTCGTCCAGAACCCAAGTATATGACGGGAGGTGGCTCGTCCCGGGTTTTTTCATGATCTTCGCAAAAATAGACTTCGGGCAAACGTGCGTCAGCGCACGGCGGATGTATCCAACAGCCTTCAAGCGGCGGATACCCTGGCCTGTCATGCCAAGCAGCCTCATCCCAGGAGACGCCTGTAATGGAAGTGCATGGCAGTAGTTTCATGCGCCTTGCCAAACGCCTATGCCAGCTACAGATGAGAGGCACTTTGCTGGTGTCTGGCCTTCCTGTGTGGGGACTGAGGGATGTGGGGCAGGGGAGGACGATGTTGCTTCGAGTGCGCTGCAGGAGGTTGGACATAATACTGCCTGTCGTATTGGAAGTGCAGCACAGCAATATCAAGAAAAAATCTATGTTTTTGTCCCCGCTCTGAGCAGCTCTTGCATTGCCCTGGCCATGAATGAAGCTGAAACGCATGTGCCATCTTTTGCGTCGACAGAACAAGGCTTCAGGAAATGGGTCCTAGCTCTTGGTTTGCGGCTTAGGTTCTGAAGGCTTCCTGGCGTAAGCCCGAAACCCTACACCCTAAACCCTTTTCCGTTGGTCAACCTGCAACCTGAATCTCCCCAACACTGCACCTGCAAACCCGCAAACTCTAAAGCCGGCACGCCTGCAAACCCCAATATATGGCCTTAAAAGCTAGAAGGAAGAGGGTTTTGGGACACATTACCGGATAATCATGAGGCTAGGGAAATCTAGCAGGATTTCTTCCGACACCGATAGTAATCTTGAAACCTCCGACCTCCAGTCTCAGAGACCTGCAAAAGGGCTTAGGGTTTAGGATGGTTTAGGGTTTAGGGTTTAGGGTCTAGGGTTTTTGAAGCTTGAAAACACAAGCACCTCACGGAAGCTCGAGCTTGAGGATCTTGGCGTCAAGCACCCACTCTCAGGACAGAAGACTGCTTGAGAGCCCCAGAAGTTCTCTTAAAGCTCTTAGGGCCCTCTAAACGTACTTTTTGCAGCTGTAGGTTCCGGGCACAATGAAAGGGAAGCTGCGAAGCCCTTTGGGCTTGCCGGCGAAGATACTCAGAAGAAGCGAGCGCACATAATGAGGCGTGAGAAAGGGGCTTTATTGGGATAATTCTTCTAAGACACCTACACAAGAAGGTTTAGGAAACGATCAGACTGTATCGGATGTGAACTTATGGCAGATGGAGATGCTCGAATCAGCTGCATCGCCAGGGCTGCGACCACCAAAATTCAGCAGTCGCAACAGCAGTTGAAAGAACGTCAGAGACAGAGACAACATTGGCGAACGTACGGCAAGCAACATCTCGCCCGGCAGGCTTCAGCCTTGTGCACAAAGCCGCCGATGCGATCTGTGTCAGCCCCAGCCTTGATCTCTGAGAAACTGTGCAGCTTTGTACAGAAGGCTTGAAGACTCCCTTTTCAGGCAGTCTTGGCCAGCACTCGTCATGGAATCTACGGTGGAATCTGCCGAGAGCTTGAACTGCACTCTGAGTGCAGTGATTTCATTTCATGTGGGTGGATGCTGAGTCTCAGCATCCACCCACATGAAATGAAATCACTGCAACGGACCCAGGTTCCATCCAGGAATGTACCTGCAGATCTCACAACCAGCAGGCAGCACCACAGAGTCGGGAGGACAGACGACTCATGAACCCTAAACCCTGACTTTGAACCTGCGACTCACAACCCTTCTCCCTAAAGCCCGGCGAAGGAGAGGAGCACGGAGGGGCATCGGCTCGCATCTGGCTGATCATGGGCCTGAAGAGTGAAGATGAGGTTCTCAAGGGAAGGGACCCTAAACCACAGCCAGCCCCCTAAAAGGAGTCCCTTGATAGGAGTTTTGTTACGGACAATTTTTGCGTTCATCGATCCTATGTATATAAAAGGTGCGCCACTTTGTTACAGACGCTTCTGTGTCCACTTTGTTACGGACATTTTTGGTGTCCATCGAGCCTTGTAGAAAAAACACGCCACTTTGCTACGGATATTTTTGTGTCCATCGAGCCTGTAACAAAAAAACCGATTTGTTACAGAGATTTGGGCGCGCATCGAGCCTGTGTAAACAAAACACGCCATTTTGTTACGCACACTTGTGTGTCCATCGAGAAAAAAGCGCCACTTTGCTAAAGATTTTGGTGTCCATCCAGCCTGTGCAAATAAAAACACGCCACTCTGATACGGACATGCGCGTCCATCGAGCCAATGTAGAAAAACACTCCATCGAGCCTGTAAACACTTTGTTACGGACGTTCTTGTGTCCATGGAGCCGCAAAAAAACACGCCACTTTGTTACAGACATGTTTGTGCCCGTCGAGCCTGTAAAGAGGCACTCTGTCACAGACATTTTTTTGTCCATCAAGCCTGCAACAAAAAACCGCCAATTTGTTACAAAGACTTTGGCGTGCATCGAGCCTATGCAAACAAAAACACGCCACTTTGTTACGGACATGTTTGTGTCCATCGACTATGTGAAAAAAACACGCCAACACAAGTAATTCCACTTTGTCACGGACATTTTTGTCTCCCTCGAGCCTGTAGACACTTTGCGGAGCTGCAAAAAACACGCCACTTTGTTACAGACATGTTTGCGTCCATCGAGCCTGTAAACAAAAGCTCTTTGTCACGGACATTTTTGTGTCCATCAAGCCTGCAACGAGGTTTTGTTACAAAGATTTTGGTGTGCATCGAGCCTATGGAAACAAAAACGCGCCACATTGTTACGGACATGAATGTGTCATCGAGCCATGTAGAAAAACACGCTACTTTGTTACAACGATTTTGGCGTCCATCGAGCTCATGTAAGACATGAAAAAATATAAACACGCCACCTTGTTACGTATGAAGCAAAAAAACGCCACTTTGTTACGGACATTCTCGTGTCCCTCGAGCCTGTACGCAAAAACACGCCACTTGGTTACGGACATTGTTGTGTGAAGTCGCCACTTCTTCACGGACATTGTTGTGCTCCTCCCACAGTATCACTCTCCTGCCCGCGCCATCCCCGCGCCGTTCCCGCAGTATGGCTCTCTCGCGTTTCAACCTAAACGAGAACCCAACATCCGAGATCCAAAGACAAACCCGGCGTGAGCCTGAAGCCTGAACTCTTAAAACGCAAACCCTTCTACACCTCGAGCCGCTTTGAACTCATTTGTCTCAGCACTCCAACCAGCAAGACCCCATATCCCCAAACCCTATACTCCCAAAACCCACATCCGAAAACCGAAACAATCCCATTCAAACCAACAACCCCACGAAAACCTCACGGAAACCGCACAAAACATTCCCAACGACAAAAAAGGTCAACGACTGCCGGGCGCGCTGCGGACCAACCATCACCACGGGCCTTGTTTCGTGTTTTTTGGGCCTTTGGCTTTTGGGTTTGGGCTCTAAGGGATTTACAGCTTGAATGATATGTTTCATGGCCAGGGTTTGGGCTTGACGCGGTTTGGAGGTTTCAGGGTTTGCGCTAAACCTAAACCTTGTCTCCGAATTCCTATGCAACAGAAAGACCCACGAAAGCCGCCTAAAAAACTCGCCCGTGCTAAACCCTAAAACGTTCATCCCAGACCCGAACAACCAAAACCCAAGTAGAAAAAAAATTAAGCAGGAAAGTGTAACAGCGGGAACACTAAACAGCCTGGGCCTGAACCCAGCATCCAAGTATTATCCTGAACCTTAAAACGTACTTAGCCCTCACCTGGAGCACCTGGGGCGGGCACACGGCCACGAAGATGATCGGCATGGGCACCTTGTACGGGTTAATTGTATATGACCGATTGATGGCATTTGGCCGGCCATGACTACACACACACACACTCTTTCATTCAATCTCCTGCGCAAGAAGCTGTTACGGCAAGTTGCTACGCGAACCGCCAAGGAGCTGGCAACGCCCAATACTGTGACGAATGACAAGCTGCACTCCGTTGGCAGGAACAATATGGTACATGTCAGCGGAGGTACCATACTCGCAGGCGTCCCAAATCGTCGTAATTACAAGTCATGTTCTACCACTCGAAATTAATCTGCACCCCCAAGCTGAAACATGAAGCCAACATTAGTTGTAAAACCAAGTCATGTTTTCCTTCCAAACTCATTCCAAGTTATTGTCAGACCTTCTGAAGAAGACCCTTAACCGTTTTGCCGACTAGTGTAGGATGTAATCGCTCACACTCGGACAATCCACACATCCAGATAGTCAGCTACATCTCCCTGCTCGGTATCAACAGGAGGGTTTAGGGGTCTTGCCCTGCCCTAACCCATAGCGTAAGTTAGGGTTTAGGGGTTCAGGTTGTGTTGGGGTATGGTTTAGAGGGTTCCAGTAAGAACTCCGAGCACAGGGCCCTGAACTCTAAAGCCACCGGAAGGGGAAACTGCATATTTATGTCATGTTGGCGTTGAAGAAATGTCGCGCTTGCTTGTACTGGTCGCGTTGCTCGAGGGATGTAGCGAAAGACAAACAGACACCTGAAGACTGAGGTCCACACGTATGAGCCTTGCACTGGGGCGCTTCCAGCCTTAGCCGCGCTTCGAACTTGCTGCAGTTGAGGCATCAATCGTTGCAGCATGGGTATCGCCTCCATCCTACACCTAAAGCCGAAAGCAAGAGCTTCCGTCATGAGGCATCAACGGCAGCAGCTGTGCAACGGTTGTGGGCCGCACCTGCAAGCAGGTTGCGCACACAATCATGATCCGTTCTGCTTCTAGTACTAAAAGTTGACATGAACCCAAAAAAGCCCCAAACTCCCAACTCCATGCTAATGTGCTGCCAAGTCTCAGGCCCTGTTTACCTGAGTGCAAGGAGCGTGGGGTCCGGATTTGAGTAAAGCGCCATTCAGGCCTTCTCCATGATCGCTTTGCTGCGCACGGAGATGCCTGAGCCTGGCATGTCTGTTTTGGTAGGATAGGTAGGGCGCTGTCGGATTTCAATGAGAAGGCACCCTAACATGTCAGCACTCAGCTCACCCTCAAAACGTGAACACGGCCCTTCTTTCCTCAGATGTGGTTCCTGCGGTTCGTTTCCGTGAGTGTTCCCGCTATTTCTGTCACTCAGGAGTGCACCCGCACCAACTCGACTTGGCGAAGTGCTTGGATGCCTTGAGGATGCAATCAACAGAAAGCTACGTGACCAAGGCAACATGCAATCCAATGCATATAAATGCATTCATCTGGTGAGTGAAAAGCACCCTGCTACACCATGTGGGGGCTCGCATGGCGCTGGCACGGGCTGTGCTACAGGAACCATCTGCGGCGCCGGGTAGTGGGGCGGCGGCGGAGGTTGCATGAAGATTTGCGCCGGCTCCTGCAGTAACGAGAGATCGAGAGCTCCATAGAGCAGGTTCAGGGGTTCTGGGGCAGGAATCAGCGCTTAAGGTGTCGGGTGCCGGGCTTCCTCGCTGGAACTGCAGCAGATAAACCCGACAGCAACCCAAACACTGCCACTTTCATGTTGTAGGACTCCGTGCTATCCTCTTCCTTATTGTATGTTTGGTAAGTTTGGAGGGCTAATCCTAAATGAAACCCTACATAAAAACTTCAATAGGCAGGTACAGTAGGGCATAGAGGTTGCAGATGTGTGGAGTTTTGGGCTCCAAATAATCCCTGACCCCGAATGCCTCCCTCGCTTCCTCCTTTTGAGCGTGTTGCTTGTCTTTCGCCTCTTTGGCCTCGAGGAGGGACATAGAGAATCATATAAAAAGAAACCGTTTAAATGTATGCAGCATGACTTCGGACTCTTCTCTTTTCGCTCTGCTCAGCAAGGTCTGAGGTTTGACGTCCACAAAGTGCTTTGGAAACATACCCTGGCAGGGTCTCCTCACACAAAGGGTAGACCTGACAGGTCCTGCATGAACCTTCCTGGTTCAGGCCCATATAGAGCCCCTAGGGTTGGGAGGGTGGGTGAAGAAAAAGGAAGCCCGTCCAGGCTTCCTTTCTACTAGCACCCTCCTGGTGCTCCTGACTGTGTGCCCGCCTGGCACACTCAGATCTGTGAGCCCGGACAGCCACAGCGAAGTTATGCTTTTCATACAATAGCACCTCACCAACCTGCCCAAGCCGTAAAGGTACCAAATGTATGCAGCATGACTTCGGACTCTTCTCTTTTCGCTCTGCTCAGCAAGGTCTGAGGTTTGACGTCCACAAAGTGCTTTGGAAACATACCCTGGCAGGGTCTCCTCACACAAAGGGTAGACCTGACAGGTCCTGCATGAACCTTCCTGGTTCAGGCCCATATAGATCCCAATGAACTGTGTCCCCCAACGCACTGTGGTCTAGAGAAACGAGAAGACCTTGATGATAACAACATATGGCATTGAGAAGAGCCAAAGAAGGGGGGTGGTCGACGTGACTGGGAAGCAATGCCGTTGTAGCCATGGATCGTGCCGGCCCTGGCGCGATATCCCATCGCTCCAGTTATCGTCTGACGCTACCCACTCGAAGAAGCACTGCATACGCAGGCCGAAGGCTGCTGCGTGGAAGATGCCAGACATACTGTCTAGCTCCGGATTGGAGGACCGGCCCTTGATGAGGCTCATGAGGGCAGCAACGTTATCTATCCACCAAATGCCGTAGGAGCTACGGAGGAGGGATGCCCAATGCACCGTGGCCATGAGAACGACGCAAAGTTCCAATTGGGCTATCTTAGTCGGGTGGCTGCTCCACATCTCGAAGAGGCTCGCATCAATTTCGAGGACCACTCCGTGCCGACGGCCTTGAGGGTCCACCAGGAGCGCACCTGCTCCTCCTTGGCCAGGCTGGTCTTGAGATGCATCTGAGGCTACGCAGAACCGCGGCGGAGGCTCCCCCATCAGCTTGAGCTCTCTGCGCGGCTTTGTAGCCAAGAAGGCCTGCACCAACTCCAAGGACTGCCGCAGCTCTGGGGACAGGATATCCCCTCCGAGTTTGTTGTACTGGTGTGAGCTGAGGGATTGCAGGCCAGCGCGGCCGACTTTGCCAAAGGCTCCGTGCGCCAGAAAGTTGAGGCACCCGTATAGTTTGGCTGCTTGACCATGGCCCAGCCGGCCGGATTCACGAGCTTGGGCGACCATCGCGGCTACCTTATCAACGAGCCTTTGCCTCGCCCAGAAGGTGACTTTGCCACTTTCCAATCTGGAAAGGTCGTGATGTAGCCCCAGAAATTCTCCAACCTCTGCCATGTGCTGTCGTTTGGCGGCTGCAAAAGGCGTTCCGAGCAGGCGCAGCAGTTCCCCGGCTGATGACTGTGCCGAGGTAGCTGAGGGTGCTGGGTCTTGCAGAGACAGATCATCAAAATAGAAGCTCCCACAAATGATGAGGAGACGCCTAAGGACAGCCTGCAGGAATCTGCTATACCGATTGAAGCTGGTGACAGCGTTGGGCAATCCAAAGAGGTGGCCGAAGTAGCGGCGAAGTCGCACTTCGCCTTTTTCGTGGTCCCAATAGGCGACCACTGTTTGCCAACTCTCCTTCGGGTCCATTGGTGTGAACCTGTAAGCCTCCGGCAGGTCCTCACCGCCTGTGAGGATACGGACTTCTCCTGGGTCGTGACCGTTGCGCATCAAAGACGAGCACAGCAGGCGGGCATGGACTCCCGGTTGCAGAGCTGTGCAGAGATCGAGCTTGTTGTGGTCCTCGCTGGCTGCGCTTTGTCCACCTGCTGCTGCATCGTCTATGACTCGCTTCTTGCCCGTCCCCTGCGTGATGCAGAATCGCGGTATCAGCCTGGCTGGCTGATCCCCAACCAGCAGTTCCCCTGCTGAGAAACTCGGGGAGCAGAAACCAGCTGCCTCATCATGGCGGCCAGCCTCCAGGATGACATCGTCATCCGGCCCAGGCGCCACACGTGCGACTACCTGTCGCACCTGCTGCTGCCAAGCAGAGGCGCTGGGTTCCGCCGGGATTGCGTCTCGAAACCCGAAGACGGGGACCTGTGGCGAAAGCCCGACTGCAGGGAAGCCCGTGAGCAGGCAATCCAAAAACTGAGCGTCCGGCCACTCCACGAGCATCATGAGAATGGGCACCATGGCAATGCTTCGGTTCTTGACCACGGAATAAACTTCCGGGCCCTGCCTGGACCTGAGAAGCCGGTCCACATCCGACAAACGATGGACCAGTTCCTTGATTGCGCTAATGACTTCAGCACGGACTGCAGAGACCGTGTCCAGGTGTGCCCCTATGTAGTCGGACGCAAAATACAGATCATGGTCAATCATGTGTTCCCACTCTAAAGGGGTCGGCTCATGACGGAGTCGCAGGGCATGATCGAAGTGTCCTGACTTGCCAAGGTGGAAAGGGATGAGCGGGGGGTTAGCCGCCCTGTGCGGCCCTGCACCCGCCTGGAAGCCTAACGCCGTCTGCAGAGCCGGCCTTTCTGCTGCCGACACAAATCTCGGCGGGCACTGGCCCCATGTCCACGGGCTCTGCTTCATCCGCCAGCCACGCCAGAGCGTGAGACAAGGCGAGTTCACGATGTCCTCAATGAATGGAAAGGGAAGCGACGCTGGGTTGGCCCTCCAGGCCATTTTCATGAAGGTGCCCTGTATGGTTTGTTGCGAAAGAAACAGGGGGGCTTGTCCAAGCACTCGAGCTCCAGCTGCCATTGCCAGTAACTTTGCCGCTTCCGAGCCGGGCGCCTCCCGGCTGTTACCTCCGACGACATAGAAGGCATAGGCTGCGCGAAGGACATCCGCATGGCAAATGATGTTTGTCGGGCAGTCGCAAACCAAAGTCTTGCCTCGGAGCTGATGCAGATCAGGAATGAGGCCCAGGCTGGGCAGGGCGTACGCAAATTGAATGGCAATCTCGGCGTGGCTGCCGTGCCTGCCCAGGAGGAAGGGGTTCCGCCAGCAAGTAGTTAACCACCTGTGAGAGAAGTGCCCTGCACCGACATAGATGTGGTCATGGGGCAGGTCATCTGAGTTGCGGTAGACCTGGTCGGCTTGCGCTCGGACGGGTACGTCTGACCTGCTGCTTGGCACCCCGGAATAGAGGCTGACTGCCTCTGCCATGAGCGTCGATGTTGTTCCACAGGTGTCATCGGTGAGCCACCTCCTGTCCGAGGAGGTATCCGTCCAAGGCATCCTTGGGCATGTGGCCAGCTTTGGCGTAGCCTGGCTGGCTAGCCTTGCCATGAGTATGCACCACCCAGGCGCGGGCTCCTCATCCAAAAAGTCGCAGGTGGACTGGAGGTGGCCACAAGTCCACGGTGAGCCAGAATTTGCCGGGCATTACTCCGCAGTCGCCGTCGCCTGCGGCCACAGGCACTGAACAGGGCGCAGGGGTCGTACATCAAGTCCACGAAAAATTTGTCGCGGATGTCGCTGGCTTCCCACGGCAGCATCCATCTGATGGAATTGTGTACGCCGTCACGGAAGACGATCTTTCCCTGAGCGCAAAGGAGGTCGTGAACCAGCAAAACCTGAGCTGTGAAGCTGTCTGCCTCGCGGGCCTGCCAAGCCCGGTTGCCCATGGCCATGGGGTTGTCGATCGGGCACGAGTCGGACCGATACCTGGACGGACGCTGAAAAGTGCTGTCTTCCATCCAGGCCAATGAGCAGGTGACCTCCCCGATAAACTCCATAAGCGACTCAATGACCGCCGGCCCCGGCTGGGCGCAGGAGATGGCCTGTACAAGGCAGGGCGGGGGCCCAACAACCTCCCACCCGCATCTCCTGAAAACTTGAGCACAGAAAGACGACAAGGGCTGGCCAAAAAGTAAAAGCACAGGTTGAGAGTCAGGCACTTGGGAAAAAGGTTTTGAGCTGTAAGCGAAGGACTTTTGACACTGCGTGCGCAACGAATCCAGACGGAGTAGAGGAGAAAATTGAGTGAGCGAGCCCTGTGCAACCTCTTCAAGGCATGGCTCGAACGACTTAGCAACACTGGCTACATGGCTACCAGAGTTTGCTCGCCGCATCCCTTCAGGATCTCCAGGCGAGGGGCGCTCACGACAGGCCTCCAGCCCGTCCAGCCCCTGTAAAAAGGAAAAACAAGGTGTTGGCGACTCCGAGCAGTGGTGTGGGAGCAACTCTCCCCTGCCCGGCGACTCCGTGGCATGGCGGGGCGCCTCCCCCGCTCCTGGCTCCTTTGGAGCGTGGCGCGAGGGGGGCACCCTCTTTCAAGCCTTGTTCTTCATGTCGCACTTGGACGGGATGTGCTGGAAACTTCCGCACACCCGCCCGGATGTAGCCAACACCCCGCAGCGATGAGCGCCCGACTGGCACTCGCGACCCTTGTACTGGCAGGCGCCGGTTTGGTACTGCTGGCAGAGGGCGGTGCCGTCACGAAGGGTAGCCGCCAGCTTGTAACCGCCGCCTGCACGTGGTTGCTTGGCAGGGGGCCCGCCCGTGCTCTGGCCTCCATGCTGGGCGGGAACGTGGACCGGCGCCTGCCAGAACGGGGCCCTCTCAGCGTAGACCTCACCGATGACGACCCCGAGGCTTGCGTCCGTGCGGCCGTTGAAGCGGGAAGCCCATTCTGCTCGTTCTTTGAGGTCCAGATCGCGGAGGAAAGTCAAGGAAATGCCGTTCTTGGTGGACAGGTCTTTGGCCCGGTAAAGGTACTTGACCAAGAGCTGCCAGGGAACCATGACATAGCGAGCGGGGTCGCTACCCATGCCTTCCGGGTCTGTAGGAGGGCTCGGGACCGCCCCGGCACCCACAATGGCCAGCGCGTTGAGGTAGACTTCAAGGCTGAAGAGGTAGCTGGCCATGTCCGTGAGCTTGGCGTCGGGGTCCAACATTTCGTCCAAGTACAGGTTGTCACCCACCTTGCGCTTCCTGGAGACAACAGTCTGCTGGTTGGTGAGCGAGCGAACCTTAGACAAGTCAAGGACCTCCATCTGCCTCTTGGACATCGCCCGGAAGCACCGCGAGACCAGGCGGTCTGCGGGCTGCAGGTCCGCCACGAAGCAGAACTTATGGCGACGCCAAAACTGCTCTTTGAGGCCCTGGAGGTCTTTGGCGGGGAGGAGGGCGTCCTCCTCCTCGGCTGTGTCAGGCGTCACCGCCTTGGACACTGCCTGGTCGGCGATCACCTTCTCGTATGCTTTGACCGTGTTCCACGCATACTTCAGTCTGGAGACCTGCACTCGCTCGTTGGTGAGGGTGAGGCCTTGATGGTAGACCCCGCTGAGCTCTTCTTCGTTGTTGACGGAGTGCGCAAACTCGGCGAGGGAGGTCATGCCCACATCAAGGATCTTTTTGACTACCTGCTCTTCTAGTTTGAACTGCCTTCCCAGCTCCTCAAAGGTGGCCTGGGCCGTTTCCTTCTCGACTGGGACTGGTCGTTGCATGGCTGTGAAAGGAGCAGGGGGGGCCGGCATACTGCAAGGTCTAGGCAAGCAAGCCAAACTGTACAAACACTTAACAAACAGCTGGCAGCGTGGCATCGGGCAGGCAACCGCTCACGCAGCCTTACGTTGTTTTAGCTTGCGCAGACAGCGCTTGGAAGCTGCTACTTCCTAACGGCCGCCCCGTCTCAGAGCTCTGCGTTGTTGATATCTCTCGGCCTCGTGCCCTTCACACCGGTGATGAGTGTGGTCTTCGTAGGGATTTCTGCAACAAGGGAGGCCGCACCAACATAGCCAAGTGCACGGCGGGGGAGTCGAGGCTGGAAGCGCTCGAGGAGACTCCCCGAAACCACGCAGTTGAAGACGTCGATGGACTTCCTGCACGACCGCAAGCAGCAAGGCCATGAGCTGGGCCAAGTCCATGCTGGCGACGTCCAAGCTATTGGCGTCCATGGCACTGGCCAGACGAAAAAGGGCTAACCAGTTTGAGCTCTGCGCAGCTGAGAAGGAAAGTGGGGGGGGTCGAAAGAGAAGGTGTAGCTTGCAGTCCTACAGGTCTCCTACCTGCAAAAGCCACAGAGAGAGAAGCTCATGCAAGTCAAAGCCTATGACTCATGCCCTACTACCTGCCTGGCAGCGCGCGTGTACGACCTACGACACAGGCCCCTCTACCCAGCTGACAGCAGGCATGCCATGCCCTACAACTCAGTTCTGCGGTATCTGACAACACGCACACACTGACCTGTTTTCCATCTGACTGACGGATCTCAGCGGGGCCATTCAGGCCCAAAAGAAAAGCCCGCCCTGACCAGGCTAAGGCTAGGCTAGGCCTTGGCAGGACCTTGTCGGCGCAAACAACGCCAGCCCATCAGCTATCGACCACGGTGATGTCCTTGAGGGCCACTATCCAAGATGCAGGGAAAAGCGAAGCGCAAGTTGGGCAAAGCGCAAGCGTCCCAGTATCACCGTAGGCCGCCGCCTCGAAGGGATCCACCGCCGCATCTACACCACTTTGGAATGAACTGCGATGCGAGGTCGGTCGCTGCCGCCAGAGGCAGACGGGTTCTGGCTGGCCTCCCTCCTGCAACGGCGGGAAACTCATGTGCCATGCTCGGTGTCCCCGCCGACTGCGAAGGAGCTGGGGCTTACCGGGGATCTTGGGCTGGTCGAAAACCCAAGAGTGAGAGGTGGACTCGGCCCACGCATGTACTTTGGCTGGGACTCTCCACGGTTCCACCCCCTGCCGTGTCTCCTGCACGTACTTGTAGGCCTCTTCGAAGGGAACCCGGCGAAACTGCGCGAGAAAGGTGGCCATTAAGATGGGAGAGCGGTGTTTGCCTGCCACACAGTGAACCAAAACAGACTCGCCGTTGGCCAAGGTGGAACGGATTGTGTGCAGGGCTGCCTTCCAAGCGGCCGCCCGTTCTCGCCCCTGATGGCTTACCGTGACCTTGATGGCGTGAACCTGGCTGGGCACGGTGTCGGCAAGTCTGTCCATGGCACTGACGAAGAGGCGAACTCGGTGCTGGCGTAGAGCAGGGTCGTTGGAAGCAGGCATGCCTCCCAACAGGAGAACCGCCTCCACAACAGAGTCCTCTGAGAGCAGCGTTCCAGGCGTCGACGTGATGGCATAGCAAACCGTGGCCGGCACTACATCTTCACGACGGCCTGCCAGTGCGTCGAACGCCTTGTCAAGGTCCTGACTGGACCCGCGCCTGACTGGCGCTGCTTCTGCCGGAGCCTCCGGCGGGCCGCGCGGACTGCCCGGCCCTTGCTTGAGAACCACGTTGACCGCCTGGCTGGCTGGCTTCTGGGGCGCCCGCTTGGTCAGGGGCCTAGACTTCTGCTTGGCCATCTTTTTGGCGGTCGTGGCCGGCGCGACGGGCCTGTGCTGGTAGTCACGCATTTCCTGACTGGAGACTCGCTGGCCGGTGACTCCGGCAGGCTCAGCCGGGCGACTCCCGGTTAGAGCACGTCGTCCTCTTCTTGGCGCCAGCCATGACGCCTTTACCGCCACGGAGAGCAACGGGGAAGATGTGAACTGAGGGTCGCGCCACTGCAGCGTTTGGTCCTTGCCCTGGGCCTCCCGCAACGAAGCAGCAAACACCTGCGGATAGCCGGTTGCCTGAAGCTCCTCCCATGTCTCAGCTTCAGTGCTCAGGAGGGTGTTGTGCATAGCCAGCTTCAAGTGGATTTCGCGCATCGCCCTTGCCGCATCGTACCGAAAGGGGGTGCTCTTAACCTTACCGGCATCCTGCCACCCCCCAAGCGCGAGCCTGTCAGGCTCTCCCAGCTCGGCCATCCCGGCCGCCGTGGCATTGACTCTACGTAGGCTGTAGGTGACCAACTGCTCCGGCTTGTTCAGCATGGCATGCAACACCGCGCGGAGCCTCATCTGGAAGGCGTGGACCCCAATCTTGCCAGAGGGCATTGCCACCAGTGCAAAGTTCATGACGTTATCCTGGCGGACCTTAGCTCGGGACTTCTGGAACACTACGGCCAGGTCAACCCCATGCGAGGTGTAGCGGGGCAGGCTCCATCGGAAGCCGTTGCGCTGGCCGATGGTCTTGCCCTTGGAACACCAGAAGTTTAGGACCGAGCCGCTGAAGCTAACCAGCCTGGATCGCTGAAGGTGTCGGAACCTGACGCAGCCAAAGACCATGGCATAGGCACCGAAGAGCACTGCCCAATCAGGCGTGGTTGGGTCCTCGGCCCCCAAATACGTATTCAAGGAACGGATGAGCAAGGGGACAAGCACGGCCGCCTGCCGCGCACCCTGCCCATACCTGTCGCCCTTGGCCTTGGGCCTGGGGAGCAAGCCAAGGTCCCAGTCCACCTCCA